GTCTTTATAAATTTTAGATACGTGGTTATAGGCAGAGTACACTGTGTGACATTACCAATGTTTCATAGAGCAGAAGCGTGTTCTAAGTATTTCCTAAAACATGTAATGCAGGTTTTGTACAGTATTAGCATTTCAGTTTCTGCTACTTTGTATTTCTCTTCCTAGTCACAGGATTTTGTCCTTGTAAATTTTATACACTTAGGTTTTTAAGTTAGAAAAGATTAAAAATCTTTTTGTGTTATATATGTGTCCTAATGATAATTTGTCAATAAGCATATATATAAGCATATATGGTATTTTTTAAAAGGATAGGCATTCTACTGTGAGCCGCAGAAAGGTTCAGCATCTGTTCATAATTCATGAACTTTGGTGCTAGCAAGCAGGTCTCTGGATTTGCCAAGTTCTAAGGAATAACATAGGGAAAAGTAGGTTTTTCCCAGATTCTCAGAGGGGACAAGATTCTACAAAGGTTAGATAATGATTGAGAAAAGTAGACTAGGTTGTAATCAGACTGACCTGGGTTTAAGTCCTGGCCGTGCCACCAACTATGGTTTTGGCTGAGATACTGAACCTTTCTGTGGCTCACTTTCTTTCTTCACTGAAGACTAGACAGATAATAGAACCTGGCTTTTTGTGGGAAATAAATAAATGAAATAATGGGTGTAAAGTGCCTGCTGCTTTGAATCTTTTTCTGGAAGAAGGTGAGGTCTAATTAATAAATTAGAAAGCATATTATGTCTGACATGGACAACCTGGTGAATAGATGCTATTACAATTATAGAGAAAGAACAGTGAAATTTTTTTTAAAGGATCACTCAAGTTTTACTCAGTTTATCCCCTAGGGGGAAATTATTCTGTCACTCTGCTGTCTATCAGGAAGAAGTTGCCATTCGTCCATCACAACAGGGAAGTCGATTTTGTTGCTGATCTTTATCTATTTAGTGAGGTAGGAGTCAGAGAGTTTAAGTGTAGGTCTTAATTCACTTAATATTTTTGCTATTTCTTAGAATAATTCTTTCTTAGGCCTTTATATCCTAGTTCCTGTTTTAGGATTAAGTTGTAATGATAGTGAAGTCTGATGCTTTGGCAAATTTAGACTGTATAAATTTTGAAATAATCAGAAGTAGACATAATAATATATGTATAATATTTGACATTTTCTAATTTAATGGGGGGAACAGAAACTGTTGAAACATCTAATAAATTCCAGCAGAAGATAGCTGTATTTCAAACAAACACAAGTTTTTTGCTGTTGACTCTTTAAAAATGAATGTATATCATATATTCAAGTAGATTGCACTTATAAGTCTTTTTACTATAGAAAATGTCAAGCATACATAAAACTAAGATGTGTAATAAACTACCATACATCCTTCACACATATTGACAGTTACCAATATGTTGCCAATCCTATTTCACCACATCATTCCCCATTGATTAATTTACAGCAGATTCCTCACATTACATCCTTTCATCTGTCAATTTCACTTTGTGAATCTGAAACACAACAAAGACCTCCCCTTTAAGAAATACACACTGTCATCATCCCTCTGAAAAAGCAATAGTATTTCTCTAATGTCATTAGATAGCCAGTTGGCATTCATGTTTTCCCTCCTTATAATCTTTTTAAAAAATAGTTTACATCAGTGTACAAGCAACATCTATGACTTGTGATATTGTCATTAATATGTCTCTTAAATTTCTTTTAATCTAAATTTCAAATTTCCTCTTTCAAATTTATTTTTATTTTTATTCCTTGCCAATTTTTGTGTGGAATAAAACAAGTTTTTATCCTGTACTGCAGGAAAATTGAAAATCTCAGAGCTATTATTTGTATAAGTTATAGCTATCGGTATTTACTATCTTATAAATTAAAATACATAATTTAAACTACTATTTAAAAATAACAGTAGTAAACCTATTAGTGTATGTAAGCACAGTTTTTATGAAACAAATATAGTTTTTATGAAACAAATACAGTTTCAAAATTAAAAGCATATGAGATAAGTGGTACTGTTTTATATTTTTGTACATCTGTTCAATATCTGGCTTAATAGATAGGTGGATTCTGCTTCTGCATTCAGTCTGTTGCATTATGTTGTTTTGGTTGAAGCTTATAGGTTTGGAAAAGGAAGGTGTATTTGAAGTCTTTTCATTTAATGGTGGGCATTATTCTTTGACACTACACCAAAACTTGACAAGTGGTAGCTTCTTTCTTTTTTTGTTTTTAATCCTTACTCAAGGATATGTTTCAAGAGAGGAAGGGGGAGAGAGAGATTTCCATGTGAGAGAGAACCATCGACCCGTTGCTTCCTGTATGTGTCCCGACCAGGGATCGAACCCACAACTTGAGTATGTGCCCTAATGGGGAATCAAACCCATACCCTTCTGGAGTCTGGGAATGACAGTCCAACCAACCAACCAACGACCTTGTCAGGGCAGCAAGTGGTAGTTTCTTAAATGTTAGTTGTAATGTGCAATTTGAAAATCTACCGATCAGGAAAATCTACCGATCAGCTTTAATACTCTGTTACTATTGGCCTGTCTTGCACTTTGAATGGATTCTTTACCCATGCATTATTTTGTAACATCAAGCATTGGTCATTTGGAAAATACTGCTTCGCCAAGTTGTGCAGATCTTCCAAATGTTGACATTTTATTGTGAAATATTTAAAAATCATATTCATGAATATTACCACCCACCTCCTTAGAAAAGTCTTTAGCTCTTGAGAAGTTGTCAAGCTCCTGGTGGTGGATACAAGTTTTTCAGAAATTCTGATTTTCTCTTGAACACTCAAATTGTATCATTGGCAACAAATGCTGTCAGTACTTTTCTTTGATGTGACAGGCTCACTTCATTTATTTTTGACAAAATATTTGCCATATATTCAAACCTGAATAAACATAGTTTGTTAAATAAAAAATGGCTTTCCATGAGAAATAAAACAAAACGAAACAGCTTATTCAACTTGTATCTCAAACAATTCACAAGTGTGTTTCCTTGAGACAACCACCGTACTTTGGCCCAACCACTTTATGGTACTTGCTTTATCATCACAGAGAATATTAAAAAGATGTATATTCAGGTATCAAGATGATAACATTTATTACTATTTAGGTATCAAGACCATAAAGACCATCAAGGGTGGTCTTTAGTGAAAGTGGCATTTGTTTACTATAAGTGCAGGATGGTAAAGGAAACAGTGACAACAGCTTTACCCACTAATGCTTTCGTACCGTGAGGGCAAATGTTAACATAGTGAAGAAGGCAGATAACGTATTAGTATTTTTATGAAAATAGTTTTTCTTCCTGGACCTTTGGAAAGGATCTCAGGGTCTGTGGACCATACTTCGAGAAATGTTACTGAAGAGTTTCTGAAAGTCCAAGTTTTGCTCCTTATATTTTTGTGGTGTGATTTAACATGTTCCTTTGTTCCTGGTATTTTCTGTAAATAGAATTGATCAGATTAGGTTCAATTTTGTTATTTCTTGGCAATAGTCCTTCATAAATGGTGTTGGGTTTATATTCTTAGCAGCCATTGATGGTGGTTTCTTAGAGATGTTAATTTATTCAGGGTTGCACATGGTTATGTTTCAGTTCTAATATTCCTTTATTTATTAGCAGGAATTCTTTCTAAAGGGAAATTTCCTCTCACCAACGATTTGTTACCCTAAGATAGAGTTTGCTTGAGGCTCATGATATAGATGGGGTAAATCCTTGTTTATTTTTCCAAATAATGAGTTGGTTTTACCATATATTCTCCAAAGGTGACCAATGAAATGTTCTAGGTTTATTTTTTTGTTTTGTTCTGATTATCATTATGAACATGTGGATTTAAACTTACTTGACGTGTTTCAATTTACTGCAACTAGAAACCTCACTTTGGCCTGCAGGAGCCTCTTCAATTGGCTCCTGATTTCTTTTGATCTGACCTCTGTTGTCCTTGATAGTCCTGTTGCCTTTTTGTTGGAGATGTTCCAGGCTCATCTTGCACATTTCCTGCCACTGAACAGGAATCATCTCCTTTTTCAAGAAGACCTCACAGAAGGGGTACTTTGAGACCACAGCCTGAGTACTAAGCTGCTCATTATTGTTGATGGCTGGTTGTTTCTAGACTTTTTCAATGGACAAAGCTAGAAAATATACATATTTTTTAAAGATAAAGTGCATCACGAATTCATATTGGCACTTTCATTCAAATTTAGGACTCAGTGATCTTTCATTGCTTGTCAGTGATTCCTACATAACTTATTTGTTTTATCCCATACCACACAGAAAACAGCCTCAGAATAACATAACACTACCAATAACTGTGGTTATGAAAAAGTTAGTTTTGCAGCTTTTTAAAAAATGGAAATTAAGCATTATAATTTAGCTAACCGATTTGGCTATCTTAACACAGTCTTATTATTAGTGTTTACTATACACTTTGAGCCTCTTTAGTCTATTCCCACAACATCGGCAGATATTTTGGGAATTGGCAGATATTTCACCTGAATTAAGTAAATCAGTTTACTGAAAGAATCAATCACACTATGCATTCATTATATTCGTTCCTTGTTCTTTTTTATTATCTAAATGGTTCCTTTTTGTTCATTAACATTTTCTGTTCTATTCTTTATTCATACCTACTCTCTTTTCAGTGTTTTAAAACAGAAAAAAACTATTTAGAGGGCAAGAAATTATGTTCAAAGGGCATAATGAGTCTTTGTTTTAAGTGACTATGCTATGAAACGATTTCTTTTTAAGAGTAGAAACATTTACTGTGCCACTTTATAACTTAGAAATTTTACTGATATTTTCCCGCTGTACTGTACTATGGATTGCATTAGAAAACAGTGTTGATATTTTTGAAGCTGTTATTTCCAAATCTGTGGATATATGGGATATTGTGATCAAGAAAATTATATAATTAAGGGAAGCTAAAGTAATGACTATTGAAATAAAAACTGATTTATATGTGGAATATGTAGTGATATGCCTTTTCCCCCCCTTCCAGGTTAAAAAATAAATCATGACTGAATCTGCCTCTAGCACAAGTGGTCAAGAGTTCGACGTATTCAGTGTTATGGACTGGAAAGATGGAGTAGGTACATTGCCAGGAAGTGACTTAAAGGTAAGTTGTCTTTATCACATACAGTTATATGTGTGTGTGCCTGTGTATGTATTTATTAAAATAAATCTGAATGCATAGGTAAAAGAAGAATTAAAAACATTAAGAATAATGCTGGAGGTTTTATATGATACTTAGACCACTATAATAAGCTCTCAAGACAGTTTAAAATGCTCATGGTTTGGCAGAAGCCTTTTTCACTTGGGGCAGGAAACTAAGGAGTATTTCAGTGGCATGTGCCCATTTTGCAAGAAGTGAATTATAGCTTCGAGGAGGATCATCTCAGGTTTGACTGTATCATGATGGCCAATAAATGTGGCAATGGTAGACTTTAGAAGACCTAGCTTCGTACATTTTGTAGTGATGGGCTTTGTAACTTTAGGTAAGTAACCACACTCTCTGTGCCCTAAAATATTGAATAAACAGGATTATTTACCTCCCTTAAATTATTTATACTGTAAATGTGGATTTTTATATAATCACTTATTCAAAAGCTGGTTCTTCCTGTCACCCAGACTGCTTTTGTATAGATGAGAACTCTTCAGAGAATGATCCTTTCGTATGCTCCTTTTCTAGGTGCTTACCCTGCCCCTTTGCCCCAGAACCCCAAATGTACTGAAGGACCACATCTGCTGCCCCATGAAATGTGGTTATGCAAGCGCCCATCTGAGAAGTCAGCCGCCCTCACCTCTCATTTCAAATTTGCTTTTGCTCTGATCCTATCTCTGGGACCTTGAACCTGTCTGTGGCCCTTTAGACTTTGTGTTTGTACTTGATCACTCTGGTGTTTGGACTTCTGCTCTCCCTAACAGGCTGTCAGTTGGCTTACCTCTCTAATGCTTTGTGTTTTGTACTGTCTTGAATAAAAATTCCCGCCCCCCAATATCAGTTTTTTATAATCCAATCCCTTTTTTGTGTCTTTGACCAGTATCTCAGCCAAGCCTGTCCTAGTTTATCCTCAGTGGTGAGATTTGGACAATCTGTTATTGGAAAAATACTTAGATTTTAGTTGGGTTAGGTTTAATTTAGTGCAAAGTGCCAACATTCCTATGAGAGTTTAGCTTAACAAAAATGTTGCGGTGAGTTTTAGTGAAATCGGGAGAGGAGATTCGGTCTTAGTTTTTAGTCTGTGTGACCTTGAACAAGTCAACTGGTTTCTTTGGGCCAGTTTCCTCTTTGGTAAAATAACGGATTAAGTAAATACTAAGGATTTTATCTGCTCTGACATTCTTCAAATGTTCATCTGGATTAGATATGTTGGAAGGAGAATACTGGAATTTTTGAGAAAGAAGGAACTGTTTCTCAGATTCTGATAGTGTCAGCCACATATTAGCTACATGAGCCTTGTCAAGTTATTTAAATCCCTTAAGTTTCAGAATCTTTATCTGTAAAATGTAAATATGGGACCTACATGTAAGGTGGCAATGAGGATTAAAAAAAATAAATATGTAAAACTCTTAAGTTGTATCTCTTCTGGCTTTGTGATATGTAACTGCCCCGCTCCCTCTTTCATTGCTGCATTCTCTTGTACATTTTTACCTCTTCTGAGTGGCTTTTTTGGGTGTCAGATAGATGATGAAATTTGTAAATTTTGTTTACTTAGGTTTTGACAACAAAGTATGGTTTCCATCCCTAAGAAACTTAGATTGCCTAAAGGTTTTCTAAGCAATGGATTTTAGGGAATAACCTATTAGTTTGCTAAGGTAATCAGGTAACTAAGCCATTTTAGTGGGTATTATAACCTGGGTTATTTGATTTGACTTTTAGGCTCATCTAATTGGGCAGTTGTTATGTATTCAGTTCACTTTATGCACTGAGGATAGTTTGATACCCACTCAAAAAAATAATTTGAAAACTTATTTTCTACTTTTCTACCCTTTCTATCTAAGGAGATTCAGAGGCTAGCCAGTTGATTATATTGCTTAGGATTTCTAATTCACTAGATCTTCTATTAAAATTCGAGTTGCTGCCCAGCCAGGAGTGGCTCAGCAGTTGAGCGTCAACCTAGGATCCAGGCGATCGGGGTTCGATTCCCGGTCAGGGCACATGTCCGGTTGTGGGTTTGATCAATGACTCTCATCATTGATGTTTCTATCTCTCTCTCTCCCACTCCTTTCCTCTCTCTGTAATCAATAAAGATATATTTAAAAAAAAAAAAAATTAAAGTTGCTTAAGAAATCTGATTGAGAAAATTTTTCACAAATGTAAGACATTAGAAAGAACTTTGAATAAATCACAAAATTTACTCTCTCCCATCATGCTTTGAATATTTTATACAACCAAAGCTTCTGTTTTTAATGGGCATAGATGTGTAAATTTCATAATAAACAGTATGCTACCCTATGACAACCAGCTGAAGTTAATTCAGCTAATGCAATCAGCTAACACAGAAATCAATTTCTTTTCATGGGAACAGGTTTTTATGTGCTGCAGTTTATTGCCATTTTGAAAGAACTTTTCTCTGTAAAAGCCTTCTGATAGGTGGCGATCAGGTTGTGTCACCCTTCTGCTTAAAACCCTTTAGCAGTTGTCTGAGTCTTTCATGGTAAAATTCAAGTCCCTCAAGTGTGCTACAAAAGCTTTTTGGTGGTCTGGCCTCTACTTTCCTCTCTGCCTGTATCTCATTTCAGTCCTCAGTTTCACCCTGTTTCCTTTCTACCCCAAACCACCAGTTGAAGACTTCACACTTTATTTTTTTCTATTCCTTGTTGCTGGACTCCCCTTCCCCTCCCCACACTGGACTAACCAACCCTTACATAAAAACAGTACACAAGCTCCTTGTTTGGGTGCAGTAGTGAAAAGAACAGAGAACTTACTCTGATGAACAGTTTACCTGCATCTTTGCATTTAATCCTTTTATTTAATGTGGTTTCTATCACTGTTGTCAGTTTACAAATGGAGAAACAGAGACTCCAAGTGGTTAAGTCATTTGCTGAAGGTCAAACAATTAGTTATTCGCAGAACTGTGTCTTAAAACCAGGCTTTTTGATAATTAAATTGACTATCTTACCACTGCTGTACTACAGTCTAAAGAGAGAAAACATTTTCCTGTCAAAAGAGATTTAAGGACAATGTTTCAGCATTTTAAGGAAGTATTATTTTGGCTGGATGGATCAGGAAGGCTTTGGAAAGCACGTATTATGTGAGCTTCAGGTGCCTGAAAATAGGTAAGGGTCTAGCGTCTATGTGAAGACTTCGGGAGGCAGAGACGAGAGAAGGTGAAGGGAAAGGAAGGCATCCCAAAGGGGGACTAGCATAAGAAAGTACAGTGTCACCCGGCCAGGTGTGGCTCAGTGGTTAAGCGTCGACCTGGGATCCAGGCGATCAGGGTTCGATTCCCGGTCAGGGCACATGCCCGGGTTGCAGGCTGCAGCCGATCAATGACTCTCTCATCATTGATGTTTCTATCTCTCTCTCTCCCTCTCCTTTCCTCTCTCTGAAATCAATAAAAATATATTTAAAAAAAAAAAAAAATTGAAAAACGAAAGTACAGTGTCAAGGGGGAGCAGCAGCAAGTGTCCACTGGCCCTCTTTAAAATGTAGTCCTTAGCAAGATACTTTTGCTTAAACAAGCTTTGGAAACCTTACCATTGCTTAATGTGTTCTTTTAAAATGTAAATTAGTATTTGTAGGTTAATATCTCAGGGCCAGCCCTAAGAACCAGCAGACAGTAAGTGGTAGTGGAAAGGTGTATGGTGGACTCCCTTTACCTAAAGCAGTTTCTCTACTTGAACTTTTAAATGTCTGAAATTTATCTGCAGAGAATTACTCCTCTGGGTCATAAGGATTCAGTCTTTCAGAGTCCCTGAGTAAAATGCAGATATGCTTCTAAGAGCGATAGCATCTTATCTAGGAAGAATAGTTCCCACTTACCTGCGAGCAAGATCTTGCAGCAGCAATGCAGAAACCCAACTGGAAAATTCACTGCACTGCTAGTGCATAGTTTGCCTTGTCTTGATTAGTGTTCAGACCAGTTTAGTTAGGAAATGTCTTTGCCCTTAAAACATTGGTAAGTAGAACTAAAATTTCAGCATTAAAGGAATAAAACAAAAAATAGTAACCTCAGCAGTGTCTTTTAATGATCTGTTATTAAAGACAGGCAAAAATAGGCAAAAGATCCTTTGCCTTTGCAAGCAAAAATAAGAGAACTGAATCAATTAAAGGTAATTGAAGCCCAGACAAACAAACAGAACCTTTGCTGCTCTTTATATATTTTAGACGTAATTGTTTTCTAATTGGCCTGGATATATCCACTTCCAGAAAATGTTACAGCGTCAGCTGGTGTGTTTGATTTTCTTTAAAGTTTCTAATTTTTATATTTTTGGTTAGAATGGAGTGACTTGATAGATTTTCATATTGCTTTTTAGATTTCTAGGTTAAAAGAACTAATAGCTTCCAAAAAAGAAATAAAATCTGTTATTTCAAGTTTCCATGGTTCCAGAACCATTCACAACCAACTTTGGAACCTGAGTGTTTTTTTAAAAAATATATCTTTATTGATTTCAGAGAGAGGAAGGGAGAGAGAGAGAGACAGAAACATCAATGATGAGAGAACCATTGATCGGCTACAGCCCACAACCCGGGCATGTGCCCTGACCGGGAATCGAACCCTGATCGTCTGTATCCTAGGTCGATGCTCAACCACTGAGCCACGCCCGGCTGGGCGAACCTGAGTGTTCTCTTCGGGAATGTGTCAGTCTTTCTGGAATTCCACCTGTGGGGACTCTAGCAGTGTTAACAGCACCTAACAACCTGTGTCGTCTAACATTTTGTATGATAGTAATATTGTGGAAGACATGGTAAATCCAAATTGAGAAGCCAGAAGAAAAAAAAAGATCCCTGTGTCTTTTTGTATATGATAGGATGTTTTAAAAACACTTTGAAGTTAATTTTTGAGATAAAGTAACTTTGGTTAGAGTAGATTTTACTCTTTAGGGTTATATGATGCCTCTGAGAATATGATGAACTTTATGAACCCTATCCCCAGAAAATGATATACATGTACCCATATTATAATTACACATACATTTCATTGACCCCTAAAGTCTGGACCCCTGGCTCAAACTGTTTCCCTAAGTGCCATTGCATCTTTGTGTTTAAACTATAGGTCAGTTGCAGGCATGAAATATTAGGAGAAGGAAAAGATAATTGGGAATAAATGTTGTATTATGGGAATATTACCTTTTAATTTTGAAAGTATTTGAGCCTAAAGCTTCCAGGGGTCATAGGTTCAAATGTCTATTTGAATATTCCACTTAGTGGTGCTCTTTCTCAGTGTTTGATTTTCAGGGTAGTTTGTAGTTTAGGAGCAACTTGGAACTTAGGCCCCAGGAGACTTTCTTTGTAATGCAAATATTTGGTGTTCTTTCTCACATTTTGTAATTGTCAAATTAAGTATAAATTAGCGTCAACATGTAATAAAAGTAAAATTATTTTCCTGGATTGCATTACAGGGCTCATGCCTGTTGTTTTTTTAATTTTTTCATTAGAATTGATACTCTGTCATATTCTTTACTATCATTAATTAATAATTGTGGCTTGTTTTTTCTACTCTTGCCCAGTAGATGGTACTGTCAGCTTTATTTTGAAATATTCTGTTTTCAGAGTTGATCATTTTAAAATTAATTTTTTTCCAAACAGTAAAGGTATTTTTAGGTCTTTTCCTCCTAACTTTTTGGCATCTCTAGACTGACATTTTTAGGTGAACACACTAGGTAGAGTTTACACTTTCCCTAGAAATTTGTGTCTGGAGTATGTAGTAAATAGAAAACATTTTCACTTTCCTTAGCTATTTCAACTTGCTCAGTCTAGAAAGCATTTAATGATTGTGGACTATGTGCAGAAAATCATTTAAGGTGCTGTTTTCACCTGGTGGAAAGAATAATGGCTTAAGATTTTTCTGGCTTGAGTCTGTATCTAGTTTAGTAAAAGAAATACTCTATTGGCATGTTGACTGAATCAATTGTTTAGATTCAGAAATGGAAAGCCTTATTTAAATACTATGTATTTGCATGCTCATAGATATTTCTGTGAAGATCTAAAAACTTTAAGCAAAAAGTTTTATTATCCCTTTGAATTTTGAGCTTTCCTCCTATTCATCACCTGTTAAAATGAGTGGATCCCTAATGTCATTCTGTTTTATGGGAAGGAAAACAGAAGGAATACAGAAAACTTTGAACTTCATGAATACGAGAGTAAACTGAGCTGTTTCAAAGGGATGGAGTCCCTGCACATAGGGAGTGGTTAAGCCTTCAAAACACACACACACACTCTCTCTCTCTCTCTCTCTCTCTCTCTCTCTCTCTCTCTCTCTCTCTCACACACACACACACACACACACACACACACACACACACACACTGACCAGGCTATTGCAGAAACATACTGTTTGAAGCTTGCCATGCAATGAGAGTAAATTTTCAATATTTGGAGTCAAAATGTCCATGAAATCAAAATACCCTCACTTTTCAGTGATAAAATTGGCCCGGAATTAGTAGACTTGCTCAGATCTCAGAGGTATTACCAGCCGTTTTGGAGGATTAGAGATGAATGTAATGGAGAATTCTAGAGAGGCCTGAGAGACAGAGGAAGTGGAGAGCCCGGGAGTCATGTGACTCGCGCTTCCACCTTCCTGGTCGCATCTTGGAACATAACGCCGTGGACGCGCCAGTAATCATCTCTGGAATAGAGATACTCCTTTTCTCCGAACTAGGTGAGACCAGTTGATTCCGGAAAACAGTAAATTTGATTATCAAATAAGCTGTAAAAGAAGAAAAGTCTTAGCAAAAAAAATGGTGTTTGAAATTACGGGTCCTATGAGTGAGCTGGCTACTCTCCCGGACAGCCGCGGGGTTGGTTGTTTATATCCGTAAGGAAGTGCCTTGCTGCTTTGTTCCGTTCCCCCTCCCCAATTCCAAAATTAGTAAAATGCAAAGGGTTTAATATCGGTAGGAGGCGTATCTAGATACAATTGTTTCAGTTAACTTTTAGAACGTATTTTTTTTCTTAAAGACTATGTGCGCCAGCCATTAAATGATTACTGTTCTGAACACTTGTAAATTTTGCCTCTTTCTACTGTGTCGTTCTAGTTTCGAGTAAATGAATTTGGAGCCCTGGAAGTTATAACGGATGAGAGTGAGATGGAAAATGTTAAAAAAGCAACGGCCACCACAACTTGGATGGTACCAACTGCTCAAGAAGGTAAGAATGGGTGATTTGTACTGTGATTTCTTTCTTTCAAAAGTTTTAAAATAAGAGTATCTAAGTTTTTATAATAGGCCAAAACCTTGAAAATCCTGGGTGATCTTCATGTCACATGTTCTTAGGTAAATTTCGGTAACAAAACTGATATGGGACTAGCTTTTACATTTTAAAATAACCATGAACTGTCTTCTCTCCTAATGCCAGATCTGTAATAGCACCAGGTTAATTGGAAATTATCAAGTAAATCCATGTAATAGCATACCCAGGTGATTTAGCCAAAAGCCTGCCACTTTTTTCTCATCTGCTCCGATGGTTGTAACTAACACCTATATGCTGATGACTCCTAAATCTATATCTCCAGCCCCGACCTCTCCCCCGAGCTCCAGGCCCGTATTTCCACCTGCCTACTGGACATCTCCACCTGGATGTCCCACAGGTACCTCAAACTCCACATGTCTGAAATGCGATTCATTTTCTATTTCTTTCTCCCCTCCCCCCCAGACCTGCTCTTTCTTCTGTAACCCGTAGTTCAGTTGATGGTAGCACCATCTATCCAGTGGACAAGCAAGAAATCTAGGAGTCATCCTGAGTGTGCTCTCCCCAGCCCCATAGCCTGTTACTTAATCCTCTTGGTTTTTATTTCCTAAATATATCTCAGATCTGGCCTTTTCTATCTATAGTCACTGTGACTGCCTTAATTTAGGCCCTTATGAACTCTCACCTGAACTTTGGTAGACGTCTCCTAAAGAACCATTCTGCTTCTAATTTCCCCCAGTTTATCTTGTACACTGAATTTAGAGGAACTTAGTAGGCTGCTTATCTGATGCTTCACCAGTTTCTTTTTATCTCTAGCAAAACACACAAAGATCTGGGTGGCCTGCACCCACCTGCCTGCTTTGCCTCTCCTCTCTGTTCCGTCCTTTGTCCTCCGTGTTCCGGCAGTGCCAGCGGCACTGACTTGCACGCAGTTCTCCCAACACATCCTGTGCCTTCATGCTTCCTTGCCTTTGCTCCTGCTGTTTCTTCTGGCTGGGATGCTGTTTCTCTCTCTTTGTCCAGTTGGTAAATTCCTCTTTGGCTTTCAAAACCCCGCTGAGGTTTTATATTGGAAAATCCTTCCCTGACCTCACCCCAGGCCGATGGGATCACGTCTTCCTCTGTACTACTTCTGGAACTTGTTCATGCTTCAGTTACCGCATGTGTCACTTCTTACTACAAATACTGGCTTTCTTGCCTGTCTTCTCTTCTAGACTGTGAGCTTTCTTGGGCAAGGTCTATACTGTCATTTCCAGTGTCTACTTTAAATTGGTGCCTGATAAATGTTTGCTGAATGAATGATTAGCCTAATAATTCAGGCGAAAGGAAATGTGAGTTCTTAAACGATTTGGATAATTATGATTCAGGAGATCTGCTACATTAAAAGTAAAACAGAGAGACATCGATTTGACCAATTTAGTAAAACAAAATTACTCATCAAAATGTAATAAACATGAAATAACATAGATAACCCCTTTTACATTTTGTCAAAGACACATCCATAAGTTAGGATTGTAAAGATCGACGGTTTAATTTTCTGAATTTAGTGACTAATGAAATTTTCTTCATTTTACTTTGAGCTCTGTAGAAAAATCCTTGGACAAGCTTTTGTCTTTTCTGCAGAATTGTTTTGTTATGTAAACGATGTGAGTGATTTCTGCCAAATCCACCTTCTTCTCCCTCCCAAATGCTATATAGTTTGGTCATTCATTCAACAAACATTATCCTTTTATTGTGTTGCTAACAAAACTATTAGAAAAAAAATTTAAGTGTATTTTGGAATGTTTTCTGTCATGGTTTTACATTTTTTTCTCTTCTTTTTACCTTCTAGTTTTTTCAGAGAAGACTGGGATGCCTTTCAGGTTGAAGGAGCCAGTGAAAGTAGAAGGGCTTCCATTCTGTGAGAACTGTTGTCAGTATGGCAATGTAGATGAGTGTCTTTCTGGAGGAAACTATTGCAGCCAGAATTGTACTCGGCATATCAAAGACAAGTAGGTTTTTGCTCTGTTCCATCTATAGAGTGTGTTTTGGAGTCCAAGGTCATGGTGTTTGGGAATGCAGAGGCTCTCTGACTTCTGACACCCTTTCATGCCCCTTCACTTTTCAGAGACATTTCCTGTAGAAACCCATGGACCTTGATCTCATTACTGGACCTAGTGACTTCAGTTATGTCTGATGGGAGTTTTATTGCTTATGTTTTATCTACAGTACAACTTCTGCCTCTTTCTTTAACCTTTTGTTTACATTAATTTGATTGTTTCTCAGCTCAAAGTATTTTAAAGTTCTCTGGGCTACATACACATTTTGATGGTACTGATGTTTACGGAAACACAGTTTTATTTTGGGGGTTCTTAGGGAACCCAGCCAAAACTCTACAACTGGACTGAAGATGGCCATAGTGAGTAATGTAATGAGTTATGTTACTGCTGATCTCAGGGAAGACTAAGAAATACAAGACAGGGGACATCTGCTGTGCCTGACAGTGGTCTGTGACTTTTTCACTTGGGACTGTGTGACAGAATTCAGCTGATTACCAAGAAGATGTATTTCTTGCATATAATTGTATGCTGCAGATAAATGACTTGACATTTATATTTTAGTGGCGTTTCCCATGTATTTTAATTAGTACAGCCTTGTGAATTGTCTGTTTTGTCGGCCAACTGATATTTTACAAAGTTCCACTTGGCCTTTTTCATTTGGACTTATCATTCTTAATAATTGATAAATCTTTGCTTTAAAGTTGCCCTGAAGACTAAAATATCTTTGAATAAGTGATTTATTAGTATGGATGGCAGATGTGAAAGACACATAATTTTAAACTTGTTAGAATCTATTTCACATATAGTGCTGGTCCCCTTTTGATAGTAATATAGAAGCTAATTTCCACTTTTTAACCTTGACAGTGTCACAGTACATCATAATGGTTCACAGTGTTCCTTATCAATGATGTTCTCATGCCTACACATTTCCCCTAGTGGTAAAAGATTCTTCCTTTGAAGGATGATGTCTTCAAAAGAATTTGCATTGATGTTCACCATGTAGATGTTTGATAGGCATTGTTTCCTGTCACTGTTTTGGGTTTATAAACACAGCAGAGATCAGAAGGAGGAAAGGGACATCAGAGAAGACAATGAAGAAGAGGACCCTAAGTGCAGTCGGAAGAAAAAACCGAAACCATCTCTGAAAGCCGACGCCAGGGACGATGGAGAGGAGAGAGAAGATGGAATGGTTAGCATCGTGCGTGGGCCTGACCTCTGGGGACGCGGGGTGCCGTGTACGCGGGTGGCACCGGGCCGAAGGAACTAGCTCTGCCGCCAGTGCTGCCCTCAGAGGCTGCTCCGGCTACTCGCTGTGTCACCATCTGAAGGTTGCCTACCCACCCTCTCTTTGTTGCTGTCCACATCTCAAAATGGGAATAGTAAATAATAGTACCCCTCTCTCAGGGTGAAGAAGTAGGAATTCCTGGGATTTCTTGCCAGAGCGAAAGAGGCAACAGCAGACCTTCAGTTTTGCCAGTGAACCTTCGGTTTCTCTCAGTAGCAAACTCTCAGTTCCATTTTGGTAAATTGCAGGAAGATCTCATAAAAAACTTGCGTGAGTAGGTAGAAAATGGCAGATCAGTGTCGGGTATATTTGGGGAGAGCTAATTTTAAAATACAAGCATTAAAACATAAATATCTTATCCTCAAAGTATCTATTAATGGTTCTTAGGAAAAGAGAACTTTGAGGTCTTGAGACATTTCCCTTAAGACCAATACTGACCAACTTTTTATTTGCTGGTCACGGTGCAAGGAGCTGAGAATGCAGGGATGAACATGACAGCAGCGAGACGGTCTCTGCTCTCAGGAACATTGCATTCTTACTAAGGGAACGTGGTAAACAGGAGACGCGTCAGCCTGTGATAAGTGCTATGCTGAGAATTACAGTAGGGCTTTAGGATTGGCTGGCTGTTTTAAGGTGGGTTGTCAGGGAGGCCTCCCAGAGAAAGTGGCATGAACAGCGTGATCGGAATAATAAAGAGTTAGTTCTGTAAAGTTAGGAGTGAGGAGCCCTCCCGTCGATGGAACGGCCAAGGTAAATTTCCTAAACTAACGTGTAGCATGTTTTGTTTGAGGAGATTGAAAAAGGCACTACAGTTGAGAGCGGAGTAAGAGGAAGATGAAGAGGTCCAGGCCATGTAGGGCTTTACAGTAAACCAGAGGAATGGGTTTTTATTCTATTCTGAGAGTGGTGGGAAACCATTGCAAAGTTAAAGGCAAGGGAATACTTTGATAGAATTCGTGTTTTAAAATGATCACTCTAGCTTTGACAGGCGAGAGCAAAAGTGGAACCAGGGAAACCAGTTAGGATTTTATTGTAGTAGAGTCGTTAAGAGGGCTATGTGAGATAGGACAGTGGATCTGGGATCCGTTAGAGATAGGGTCATTGGTGCGTAAGGGAAAGAGAAGAATCAGGGATAACTCTTACACTTTTGTCTTAAACCATTGACTGGATAATGATACCACTTATTGAGGATGGGAAGGCAAGGCTGGAGTACAGAATCTAGAGTCACTTGGGCATTGTGAGTTTGAGATGCTTGTTGGGCATCCAAGTGGAGATCCAGGTAGGCAGGTGGATGCATGAGCATGGAGTCAGGGAAAAGGTAAGGGCTGGAGTACAGACTAGGGGTATCTGGCAGACAAATTGATCTTTACAAACTAGGGAGAGGGATTAGATAAGAGAAAAGAAGGTGACCAGGCTGGGAGAGACACTAGCAAAGGGACTGAGAAGAGGGGCCAGTGAGGTGTAAGGAAAATTAGAACAGAGTGTTCCAGGAGCTAAGAGAAGAAAGTGTTTGAAGGAGGCGGGAGCAGGATCCCTTCTGTTCCACAGTAATTCTTGGAAATGCTCTTATTTTGTAATGACCTTAGGCCAAAAGCAACATAGTTCTCAAATGACATGTATATTCTTACTTTCCTTAAAACTTGGGAAGTGAAATTGAAGAAAAGTACAAAAAAAAATTTAATGCTTTCTGACAGCTCTCTAACTTTGTGTTGGTGCCTGTTTCACAAACTTTTCCTTTCTTACTGTAGGAGAACAAACAGGATGGAAGAATCCTGAGGGGCTCGCAGCGAGCCCGAAGAAAAAGACGTGGTGATCCAGCTGTACTGAAGCAGGGTGAGTCAGTGAGAGAGAGGTAACGTGTAACTTTATGCAGCTGAAAATATTTCGTGCGGGTAGACATTTTAGCCTTAGTTGTAATGCACACTAGGGCAGTTAAGGTATTGCTTTGGGGTTGTTTTTTTAAATGAAATTTTGTCAATAAAGATTATGGTTTTGAAGAAGTAGATAAGGAAAAAGATGGAAGTTAGTAACTTTCAAGTAGTGTCTGGGCAAAAATGAGAACATCTTACTTTATTTGCACATCAAATAGGTTTCATCTACTTCTGCACTTTTACTAAAGCCTATGTTCTTGTCATTTTCTAAGACTGAAGGTTTCTAATGTTGTCTCTCAAACTACAGCCTCCTGATGTGGTACCTTTCTTTCCCCTGTTGTTCCTCTGACAACACTTTATTCTCAAGGGAATCCAGGCGGCAGCCCTTCCCTTTCATACCCTAGTGGATGAACTCGCCACCTTATTCAGCATGGACCTCCTGTCATTTTCCTAGAGGCCGCAGTGTCCTCTGCTAGGCCTTATCCCCTTGACCTGTCACGTATTCCTGGCCCGTCCTTCGTGTTAGGTCACTGCACCCTGCATAGTTCCACTCCTGACAGCCCAGTCATGTTGTCCCTGCAAGTCAGCGTCATGAACCCAGTGCCCCTGTGCTGGGATTGGGTGCACGCGGTCCATGCTTGCTCACCCTTGAAGTCTTCCAAAGGAGTGCGACGCGTTTCCACCTACTTCAGACACACAGCCTAACTTACACCTGGGGGAGATGATTTCTAGTTTATGTCACTGAGGTTAAAGGGAGTAAATTATCAGTTACTCAATACTTTGCCTCAAAAATCTCATCCGTCTTTCTCTCCCTTCCCCTTTGCTTCTGTTCTCAGGGCCCTGTCTCCTCTGGGACCTTGCTCCTTCAGTCATTTCTTTTCACCCCTTAGGTATTCAGACTCCTTTCCTCTTCATGAGTGCCCCCTTAGCTGGTTCAGATCTCATCCCCAAAACACCTTTTCCCAAACGTTGTTACGTATCAAGCTATTGCATTCTTCCTTTTATTTCCATTATTTGTCAAATTAATCCAAAATGAAGTTGATTTTAGCTGGTACCATATCTTTATCACTTCTGTATTCTTTTGCTGCTCAAAATCTGGCCTTCGCTGAATTGATTTTCTTCCCTTTCACCCAAATTGGTAGCCGTTCCCTAACCACTCAGTGTACTGGCCATTTCTAGTTTCACCTACTCGATGTCTTAGGAAGCTTTCGAGCATCCTGATCCTAGGAGCACTCGCTTCCTGTGGCTTCCACGGTACTGTTCCAGCTTGGTTTCCTGCTCTGTCTTCTTCATTTACTCTGAGTTCCTCTGCGTCTTTCTTCTACCCTCATAACTGTGGATATTATACCATAGTTCACTGCTTAGCTCTCATTTCCTTGGAAGAGGAGCCAAGAGAAGAGAGCGAGAAACACCAGCTGTGGTGGTAAGAGAAGAGCCAGGCCTAGTGGTATTTAGGGAAATGAGAGTTCACAATGTACTCTCTCTGTGATTTTTTTTTAGATTTGGAGATTCTATCATTTTAATCTCACTTGCCTTTCAGGTTTGCCTCCTAAAGGCAAGAAGGCTTGGTGCTGGGCATCCTACCTGGAAGAGGAGAAGGCTGTGGCAGTGCCAGCGAAGCTTTTCAGGGAGGTATGACCCTTCTGGAGAGCGTGGTCTCTGCGGGCAGAGCAGCGTACTGAGCTGGAGTCAGTGTTGCTGTGTCCACTGTCTGTTCAGGACCTGTGACTTGGGATGATTTCTCAAGTGTATTGTTTTCATGTGTGTATTTATGTGGAGGGGACCTGCAGGGACAGCCAGCATGAATACAGGACACCTTCCTCCCATGCTGTGTGCATGGGCTCCTTACTCTTTCAGCATTTACCAGCTTTCACTCAACTGTAAGAGATATTTCTCCTACTATTAAAAACTAGTAAAGAAAAATTGGCATGAAATTTCATGTCGACATCATGGCTTTGGGAGAATAGAAATGAGTTACTGAAGTTTACATAATATCACAACAAAAATCTAAAAATGAGTTACTGTATTTTATTAACTATAATAAAAATTTTTTTATCATAAGTAATTTAAAATCAGGTAAGGGTATAGACGCCTAGTGTAGCTCTAGCTTGGAGCTGCTAACCCTGGGCTAAAATGTGTCAGCAAACTTTTCCTGTAAAGGGCCAGAGAATGAGCATTTTAGGCTCTGTGGGGCATCTGGTCTCGGGTGCAACAGCTCAGCTCTGTTGGGATAAAAGCAGCCATGAACAATATATAGATGAATGAACGTGGCTGTATTCGAGTGAAACTTTAATTACAGATGGTGGGCTGGATTTGACCCATAGACTATAGTTTGCTGACTCCTGGCTTAAATTATTTAATATTTAATCATGGTATGTAATAAGTCTGCCATCGATACTTTTTATTTATGTAGGAACATAGGGAGTTTTTAAAAAGTGTTGACTAGTAAGTATTAGGACGAGTACATCTACACTGGCATATTTAATTTAAACATAATAGTAATTACATATGAACTTGTCCTATATAATAATTTTCTGTAACTTTGGCCCTTTGAAGAATAGCCTTTTTACATTTTTTAAAAGAAGTTTTATGTATAGATACACTATATATACGCATATATATATGTATATATATATCTCTCCAAATCCTCTCCCCCCTCTTAAACCATATGATTACATATGTCAGTCATGCTGTTTTTTGGACTTTGCTTTTTTGTTAACTTAGTTTGGAAATTATTCTATCTCAGTTCATTATTTCCTTTATTATTCTTTTATATTAATGGATAAAATTCCATCTTGTGGCTGTGCCATAATTTAAGATGCTCCCTGTTGATTGACATGTGACATATATTGACATATCTGACACATATATATATGGCATATATATGTCAACCAATAAAGAGTAGCTTTAATAATTATAGATCAGACATAAAGTGGAATACTATATGTACATGTGGAACGTAGATACACAGATCTTTTGCCATGTAGATGTTTTAGTGAATAATCTTGTACACCTGTCATTTTGCACATGTGTGGTTATCTCTTTTGGATAATTTTTTAGAATTAGAATTGGTAAGCCAAAAGAAGTGTTCTTTTTTTATAGGTATCATGAGATGGCTAGAGGCTGTAGCAATCTATATCCCTACTAGTGATGTATGTGTGCATCTATTTCCCTAGAGTCTTGCCAACAGTGTTATCAAACTCTTTGATCTTTACCAGCCTGATAGGGGAAATATGTTTTTGTGTAATTTTACTTTGTATGACTCTTATGGGTGAGGTTGAACATCTTTTCAAACATGTAAGACATTTAAATTTTCTTTTTTGTGACCCCTTTATAGTTTTTGTCCATTTGCCATTGGCTCATTAAGTGATCCTTTTCTTTTGAGTTTCTAAGAGTTATTTATGTATTTGGTTAAATAGTCTTTATTTAAGAATAGCAATTATTCATATTTTTAATTAGACCTTCAGGATAAAATACTAAAACTGATGTCATTTTTCATCGTAGTATCAATCCTTTCCATATAACAAAAATGGGTTTAAAGTTGGCATGAAATTAGAAGGCGTGGACCCTGAGCATCAGTCCGTGTACTGCGTCCTCACTGTGGCTGAGGTAAGCTTTGCCTTGTCTTTATTTTTAAGATAAAATGGTGACTGTGGGGTTTAATAATGGGAAAAGATGCCACTTGTTGAGTGCTTACTTCATGCCAGGTGTGGTGCTTAGTGTTTTGTGTATATTACATCATTTAATCTTTACAAGAACCCTATGCAGGTCAGGTTTTTCCATTCTTATCCTATAGATGAAAGAGCTGAGGCTCAGAGGGGTTAAGTGATGTATCCAAGGCCACACAGCTTCTAAGTGGTAGAACCAGGATTTGACTCCAGGGTCATCTGACTCCATGGTCTTTGCCATACTGTGTTCTTTAATATAAGGAAGAGATCAACAGATATTTATATTTCTTTAGTATTTTGAGGTATCTCTGTGAAATTTTTCAGGAAAAAATATCCAAATCAATTATATGTATCTTGGTTTAATATATTACTGAGAACAGGTCTTAGAATTGAATATTTTTTCTCCATGCTAGCTTCTTCCTTGCTCCCCTCCCTTGAGCCAGGGATGTATATCTTTTAAAAAATGTTCCCGAAAGAGTGAAATGATCTTGTGTATTAGTTTTATTTAGTAATCTTTCACTTAGTGACTCTGTTAGAGCTTTGGCATCTCTAGAACATAGTAACATCTGACAGCTGGGTAATGACAGTCGTCGTAAGTAATATACAGTTACACAGAGTGTACCATGAGGCAGTGCTCCCCATATATATTTTTAAGGTGTGTGTGCCGGGTGTGTGGGTGTGTGTGTTTCAGCTCTTGGTTTTGAAGGAGATTTATTTTAGTTTGTCTAGTTTTTTTATTATAGCAGTAGCATTCACTTAATTGTGAAAACCTCAACTAGTATGAGTTTTGGGACTGTTCATCACCCTGGCTCTGGGCTCTCGTCTCAAGCTTCTTGTTTAGGCTTCTGCATGGCAGGTGCTCCTGGAGTGGTTGGAGGTATGGTGAGTGTGGCTGCACTTGAACGAATCTACTCTCCCAGTGGGAAGATTGAGAGGCTGAATTTCCCTTTGAGAGCCCAGCGCAGAGCATGAGCCAACGGAGACCCCATACACCCATGTGACCTTTTAACTCAGAACTTCCCCCCGTGGGGCCCTTTAGGTAGATGTATGGCCTCAGCTTTCAGCATGCATTATATAAGCTTATTTCTTACTGGCATTCCAGGGAGCCTGTCTCATCTAAGTATGAATTGTGTAGGCTTTTCTTGCTTTCTCCCATCCCAGCAGCTGGTGGCGAGGAGGATCTGTTGACTTCTCTGTGTGCGCACCAGCCTTGGTCTGGCTGGGTGCCACCGTGTGTGGAACTTTATAAAGGACAAGCCAGCATGCAGACAGCGTGCAGCGGGGCATCTGCCCCAGGACTCTGCAGTAGCTGTGTGCCCTGCACTGGACTGGTTGCTTCCATGCCGGCTCCCCACAGTGACACGCTGGTATAATACAGTGAATGAGAGAGGATGTGTATGTGGGGGAAATGTATTTTTCATCCCGTATCCATGTGCTCCTGATGTAACTGGGGATGATGCTGGAACACTGCAGCTCAGTCTTTCCCATATACGTAATAGCCTTTCCTTTGGATTTTGTCTTTTGTTCGCTTGTGTCTGCTGCGGTTAATGAGAGGGTACTTTGATTAGCAGAAGCTGTATCATCCTAGATGTCCACGTACACAAGTATTCTGGGTGTCTTTCTTTTGTTGTTTAGTCAGCCAGCCTTCACCTATTTCAGGTTTGTGGGTACCGGGTAAAGCTGCACTTCGATGGGTATCCCGACTGCTATGACTTCTGGGTGAACGCAGACTCCTTGGACATCCACCCAGCTGGGTGGTGTGAGAAGACGGGCCATAAGCTCCATCCCCCCAGAGGTATTGTCACTTATGTCCCGTATTTTAAATTCTATAGCAGATTCCTTCTCTACGTGTTGATTTGGAATGTTTAAGAATTCAGGCTTTATAATCCAGATAGGCCCAGATTCAAGCTTATTGTCCATGAAGAAAAATACATTTATTAAATGAAAAAAGAAAGTAGAATTCTATTTAAGAGAAAAAACTATGCCCATGTACTTATTTGCGTGTAACATAACATTTGCATGATACTTAATTTTGACTACAAATTTTAGCTACAGATTTCTATTTTATAAATATATACGTGTGTGTGTGTATATATATATATATATATATATATATATATATATATATATACTTGAAAATAGCAATAAGACCATTACATTCTCACTAGATAACATTTTATGAAAAGTAACTATATTTTCCAAAGTAAAAAATATTTAGTGAGCAGAAATGCTGTATTATTTTATATTTTAAAATCTCTTTAATGCTGACTTAATAATTCTCATATCTGCTTCTACTTTCAATCTGTTGTGATATGATGTTTTCATAGAAAAAAATGAAGAAAATCAGGCCCCATACAAAAAAATATAGTTGGATAAAGGAGAAGCTTGCAGACTCCCTGAAAGGATCTTGGAGACCACCATGGGTCCTAGGACCATACTTACANTCCGGTTAGAGTTACCATTGGACCTAGGGTTATGATTATATTTCTGTCTCTTATACACATCTAGATGTGTATAAGAGACAGATATATACGTGTGTGTATATATATATATATATATATATATATATATATACTTGAAAAACTGATTTGAAGGATTACCTCTGACCTGTTTACAACACTAAGTATATTTACTGATATTTCAGTATATAGAAAATCTCAAGAAGTCATGCCTTGAATTTATAGATGTTAGTATTTAGGAGTTTGGAAAGGACAGTATAACACTAAAAATTGGTTTAGACAGTGGTTGAACTAATAGGAATTACTTTTTTATTATTGAGTTCTTTACATTAGAGTCTGCCAATGATTTTGCCTGTTTCATGTTTACATAAAGATCCGAGAGTAACAGATACCATCTTTTCAGTCCCTCTGTGTATTTAATAATATCTTATTTCCTTCCTTTTCGGCTATAACATTCAGTATTGTTAACATGATATCAAAGATCCGGGTTACTAGTTTGATATTTTTGGCCTGTCTCAGGGTTACTGTTTTTTAATGGACTGGCCATCCTTTGGTTTTAAGTGAAAAATTAATGGCAGAATGGTATTTTTAAATGGCTGAAGGATTAAAGAAAAACATTAAAAAAATGAGGGCAAAAAAGAAAATCTGTAAGCCTTTTATAAATTTGCCTCTTATGTATGGTGAATTTTTAGCTGTTCTTTTCATGCTGTCTTTTGGGTTTTAATGGAAGTAGAAGAGAGCACATGAGCAGATAAAATAAAATGCTAGGTTTCCTTTTTTTAAGGAAAGGTTGGCTTTATCAGCATTAAACATGAAATTGTGAAAATTAAGGCCAGGACATTTACATTATTGTAACTTACCAACATGCTTACTTCATTAATCTTGAAATTTCAAGCCTGTGGTAATAGGCCAAAAAGAGTTTCTCTGTTTTATTACTGTTTTCCAGCTTCCCATTTGTTCTTATAAGTTACTCTCCCAAAATAGAATAGGTGAGAGAAAAATAAATAATTTTACTACTTCAGATCAGTAGACTACTGCTAAGGAGTTCTACCTAAATACTGATAGAAATGACCAGGTAATAAAAGGAAGCACAACTCAGTATAATACATACTTGTTTCCTTACACCTTTTCTTTATATCCATTACCGTTTACTCAGAATTGAAAAAATAATATAAATTGTTGTAAATAAACACAACCTGTCTATAACAATTCATAGTTATGAATTATGATTTAAATTTTGTCTATTTAAAAAAATCACTGATCTCCTGAGTTTAGCATGTTTGAGTTATAGATAAAAGTGGGACTAAAAAAGTAAGTGTGAGATGTTTTTGTGTTTTGCTTAAGTCTGTTTATATGTGCTTATCCTAGGATATAAAGAAGAAGACTTTAATTGGCAGACTTACCTGAAAACATGCAAAGCTCAGGCTGCTCCCAAGTCATTATTCGAGAATCAGAATATAGTAAGTACATCCAAAATACTTTTTCTTTCAAACAAAAAAAAGGTGGCTGTTGAATGTTTCATAGGATAAATTACAAGTGATAACAAGAAACTAACAAATTTTTTTGCTTTGGTAAATAGAGTACTCTTACCTTAGTTAAACTTCAGAATTAGCTTAAAATCTTCTTGTGTAAACATGTGTTTGATAGCCATGTCATGGTTGTCTTTTTTTATCGAATGGTAGGAGGCAACATAGTACAAAATGCAGGTGTAATTTACAGTTAAGGTGCATAAAAATTAAATTGATGGGACATTTTATTGTTATTGTCATTGTCTAGGAGTGCTTTTCAAATGGGATTGAAATAGTGAGATGAATGGAGCCCTGTTTTGATTTGTATGCTAGAAACAATGATTTACCTTCACTCCAGCTCCTAGCTCTATATTCAGTATAACAGAAGCACAAACTGGATGTGTGTGTATTTTCTCCTTTACCTATGTTACTATTTCCCATTACCTTTGGCACCTCTGAGAAGGCCTGGTACCTTAAATTCTTCTTCCTGGCCCAAGTTCTGATCAAATTGGATAGAACAGAGAGCAAGCAGATAGAAAACCAAAATATTGTCTTTGTAACCAATAAGGGCTCAGTTGCATGGCCTATATCTGCTATCAAATGAGTTTCTTGATTCTGAGCCCTAGAATTAAAGAGATTTACTGGCCCTTCGTGCCCCACTACCCAAATCCATTAGTACTGGACAGGGGCATACATACCCTCCCACAAGGACAGACCTGGCCACAAGAGGAGCATAGTGGAAACCATGCGCCCTGTAGTCCAGCTTACATTTAAGAGTATGACCTGTTCCTTCTTCCAGATTCATCAGTCAGGTAACAGTGAGTGAGAATGTGGGCAGAGACAGTAATGTTTCAATAACATTCCCTGCAAATGAAAATAAATATAAGGATTAGAGAAAAACGTTCTCCCCAAGTCCAAATACCCTCCATTTGGGAAATGATTTTAACCAGTTGTTTTCAGCATCAGCCTAATGGCTAAAGATTCTCTCATCAAATTGAACATAAACCAGGTCAAGTTAGAGAGCTGAGGAGGGGCACCTACGTGTGCATGTGTGTGTGCATGTGTGTGTGTAGGTAGCTAATAGAGATAAAATGAGCCAGGTTAATATATTAAAGTATCTTAATTGAGAGGATAGCTCCTTGCTGGGATGTAAATACTGCATTGTTGGTAGGTATTCTCTGTCAAAACAAGGCCAGTTAGGTGGAAAACTCTGGCCTGCTCTCACTGCTCCAAGTTTCCTAACCCCTGTCTGGCTCTCTGATGAAGACTTCAGTCAGGGATTTCCTTAACTGACCTGAATTATCTTCTTAAGTTCTCTGCTTTGCTAGTACATAACTGAGTCTTAGGCCGTGTGATTCGTATTTAAGAAGCAATTAATTTTCGTAATTCTAGATTTCTCTACCTTAGAATGCTCAAATATTTATGGTCAGAACTTTGATAATTTCAGGACTTAAAAGGATCTGAAGGTATCTTTGTAGCATTAGTGACTGCTTCTTCAATTCAGACAGGACTTAATTCTAACATTTTCAGGTACACGCCTATCCACATTTTTGTAATGATAGCCGTATAATTACAGGAAAAAGGGAGACAGCATCTATTTTGCTTAAAGTAATTAGAATAGTATCTATATTCTTCAGTTTGGATGGAAGGATTTTTTGTTTTTTAGAAGAGCAGAAGCATTGTGACTAGCATAGCTAATACTCAACTACACTTCTCTGAGATGAGGATATTTTTCCTCACAAAAGATTATAAGGAATGTTTGCATCTTACTGCACCTCAAGCACTAAATTTTACTGAATTTTTTATTATCTTAGTTCCATGTCCCAGATGGCTGATAATCTGTATTACAAACTATTTTGAATGGCCGTATAGATTAACAGCCAGTTCATTTATGAAGATGACCTACTTTCAGTACTCTTTTGAGAGATCTTTTCAGAAATGGGAGTGAATTTGTACTGACTCATACACATTTTTAACTTGATTAAGTGCATGTTTTGTGTGAAATAACTTTCATTGTTAACTCAATAATCAAGGAAGAAAAAACAGAAAGGGAACTTGTCTGGTGAATAAAACTTGCCTACCTAGTACAGTCGACTAAGGTACCAAAATACACGTTAATACTAATTAAACTCTATGAGGCTGTGGGTGTTTTAGTTTTGAGTTCCACATAGTTAATTGGTACAGTTAATTGGGTGTAGCGACGGCATTTTTCTTATTACCGCCTGTTGGAAAGCAGCCCTCCTGGAAAACTGGTACATGATTCTTAAATTATGTGAATATAGCTGATGGATGCCAGGCCTTCAAGCAGAGGTACAGAGGGGGTGCGGGTCTTGCTGGTGAGTGTGTGCTTATCTCTAATTAAATCTGTATGTTTCATAGACAGTGATTCCATCAGGCTTTCGAGTTGGAATGAAGCTTGAAGCTGTAGACAAAAAGAACCCTGCATTTATCTGTGTTGCTACGGTAACAGATATGGTGGACAATCGTTTCCTGGTACATTTTGACAACTGGGATGAGAGCTATGACTATTGGTGAGACATTTTTCCATTGCTTCTATGTGCTTTTTCTAATTATCCAAGTAAACCAGGTACATGGTTTAAAAACAATTATAATGCAAAGCTTACAACAGAAAATGTAAATGCTGCCCCCCTATTTTCTACTTCAGGTTTTTAATTCTTACCTCTTTTCTATGGCATCTATTTCTAAATAACATTCTTTAGTTCTGGTTTGTGGATTGTCTTTCAGTTGATTTCCTGCTGTGGAAGTGCAGTTCACACCCCATTTACCTGTTTCTCATATTTTTATGCCTAGTAGCTAATTTAACCACTTAGAAAACTGCATACAAATATATTAATTGAGGAATATAGTGGGGTTTTTTTTTGTTTGTTTTTTAATTTATCTTCATTGTTGAAAGTATTACAAGTGTCCCATTTTTTCCCCCCAATTGACCCCCTCCACCTCGCTCCCACCCCCTCCCCAGGCCTTCACCCCATTATTGACTGTGTCCATGAGTTATGCATATAATTTCTTTGGTTAATCTCTTCCCACCCTCCACCCCCCTTTCCTCTTTCCTCTGAAATATGATCATCTGTTGCCTGCATCAATGTCTCTGGATCTATTTAGTTCGTCAGATTCTTTTGTTCATTAGCTGCTTCTTAACGAAGACCCTTCAACTTTTCCTGTAGTGCTGGTCTGGTGGTGATGAACTCTTTTAGTCTTTTCTTATCTGTGAAGCTCTTTATCTGACCTTCAGTTCTAAATGATAGCTTTGCTGGGTAGAGCAATCTTGGTTGTAGTTCCCTGTTTTTCATCACTTTGAATATTACTTGCCACTCCCTTCTGGCCTGCAAAGTTTCTGTTGAGAAATCAGCCTACAGTCGTATGGGTGCTCCCTTGTAGGTAACTAACTGCTTTTCTCTTGCTGCTTTTAAGATTCTTTGTCTTTAACCTTTGGCATTTTAATTATGATGTGTCTTGCTGTGGGCCTCTTTGGGTTCTTCTTGTTTGGGACCCTCTGTGCTTCCTGGACTTGTAAGTCTGTTTTCCCGGTAGGGGAAGTTTTCTGTAATTATTGTTTCAAATAGGTTTTCAATTTCTTGGTCTCTTTCTTCACCTTCTGGCACCCCTTCTGGGCCTCTTGAAGTTGTCCCAGAGACTCCTTATACTATCTTCATATTTCAGGATTCTTTTTTCTTTTTGATCTTCTGGTTGGGTGTTTTTTTGTTTCATGTTCCAAATTGCTGATTTGATTCTCAGCGTCCTCTACTCTATTGTTGATACCCTGTAAATTATTCTTCATTTCAATTCGTGTAGCCTTCATTTCAAATTGGTACTTTATTATGTCATCAATTTTCTCAGTTATTTTCATAATACTCTTACTAACATGGTTGAGCACCCTTATAAACAAAATTCTGAACTCTGTATCTGTTAGCTTGCTTGGATCTATTTTACTTAGTTCCTCTTCTAGAGATTTCTTCTGTTCTTTCCTTTGTGACATGTTTCTTTGCCTCCACACTTTGGCTGCTTTGAGGTGTTTGTTTCTATGTATTAGGTAGAGCTGCTATGTCTCCTGGAGTTTGTAGAATGGCAGGAATATGGTTTTTAATCCTTGTGTTTGGATATACTACATAAAGTAGTAGGAGCAACATATTATAAAATTGTATAATTATAAGGTAATTATAATAAGGCCATTATATTTTGATTAAGTAATTGAAATAATGATTTTCCACATGTAGTTCATATTCATCGAGCACTTCAATTCAGTTTCCTGATGAAAGGCATTTCTGAAGTGTTTAGTTCCTTCTAGAGAAAATTGCCATAAGAATATTATAAAAAAGTGACAGATCTCTTTATAAAATGACTAATGTTATCCTATCAAATGAATATTAATTTATATAAATGTTACTAAATTCCAGGAAAGCTTGTTTTCTCACCTTCTTTGTGTACATATATTTAAATATTCAGTAAACACATCAATAATTTGCTTTACTCCTCAGATTGGATTCTTAGACACTCATCAGCTTATCAGCTTTACTTGCATTATTTTAAAAAAGAAACATTGAAAATCATTTTGTTATTTGATTTTTAAAATCCTTTTGATTATGTTACTCATCCTTTTTACAGAATTTTTTAAGTGTAGATAAGTAATTCTATGATTACATTGAAGAGTTAAGTACTTTTGGACATTTTGGTTTGTTTTTCCCCAGCTTTTTTCTGCAAAGCATGTTTTCCTTATAGGATACCTTTTTATTCAGTTTGCAATAAAAACAATTGTTGAAATATAGACCGTTTCAAACATATACTAAAGTAGAGTAATAGAGGGACCCTCCTGCGGCCATTACCCACCACCACCAATTAACAATTTATATCCACTCATGTCTTCTCTGTATTCGTACTCCTCAAGTCCCAACTCCAGATAGCAAATTCCAGATATCATAGCATTTCATCTGTGAATATTTCAGTATGTACTCAAGCTAGGGATGCTTTCTTTCTAAATAGATAATGTTACAAATGCTCTAATGTTACTAACATATTTAAACATTCTCCCCAATTGTCTTGGGTTTTTCTTTTCGTTTTTTTTAGCTTGCTGGTTTTAGGTCCGAGTGGGTGCCCACTTTGGTGTGCCTCTCGATCTCAATGTGTAGATTTGTTCCTCTCTCTCTTTCCTCTCCTTGTAACTGTTCCTGAAGAAGTCAGGTGGTTTTCTTGTTCAGTCTCCCACAGTCTGAGTCTGCTGATTGAACCCTCGTTACCTTGCTTACCATGTTCTTCTGTTTTTTGTATTCCCTGTAAATGAGCAGTTTTGTTTCATTTAACATTATCCGAACCTATCTTGAGTGAGAAATACTGTCAGTCTGTCCCTTCTGGGTCAAACATGTCTCTCCCCACCTGTGAAGTTGCTTATTTGACATAAAATGTACTTCCTTTAAAAACATACTTCTGGAAAATAGTGCTGAGGGAGTCTAGAAGAATTTGTCACAGTCACTTTTCTTTTATGCCAGTTGCCTAGCCCTAGAGAGTAGGAAGCATCCTGAGTTCTTTTTCAGAAAGAGCAGAGAAAAAAGTGATCTCTTTTAGCTCTGATTTTGTACTTTTATGAGCACAAAATAATGATTTTTAGGGTGGTATGTACTTTGAGGATTTACTTATACCTCTAACTATTGACACGAAATTATATTTTGTTAATTGTCAGAAAAAGAATGCAGTGTGTTCTCTTCATCAATATCCAAGTAACGCACATTGAAAATTGCTTAAGTGCACTGGAATTTCTCCAGCCTTATTAAATGTTATGTTCTTTGATCTTTGAATTTCGGAATGTTTTTTTCTGCATAAGTTACTTACTTAGGTATGTAATTGAGGTTACAGATTGCATTGCCTTTCCCAATTTAAAATTGTTTAGAAATGAGATTTTTTTTTTTTCCTTTGAATTGGATAGTGATTCTCTCTCTTTACCTTAGCGGAAATTTAAACACACCCATACATACACATTTGTGGTACACATTTAGCTGCAGTAAAACATTTCTTCCTTCCTAAGAGGAACACAATGTAGGATTTAAATTTATGTAAGATTGAAATAGCGTTTTATAAAAGGAAAATAGTATATGTTAGAATAAAAACTGGTTACCTCTGACTTTCCTCTGTACTTTTATTACTGGTCGTTGGTAGCTGTTTAATTCTATCCCAGTAATTGGACTTAGGGATCATCCTCAATATCACATAATATTGAACTAGAAAGGACTTTAAAGATGTGGGAAGGGAAGCCATCCCAGTGAGGGGGCTGGGGTCCTCCCAGGGCAGTGGGCAGCCTCTCTCCCTCCTCTTCTTCCGGCTGCCTGAGGGCTGGCTCCTCACAGAGCACGCAATGAGGAGTCACTCACTCTGCTCCCCCAGACACTGGGAAGGAATGTAACTTTTAAGAAATGTCCTATTCATGTGACCTTGTGTTTTGGGAACCAGAAAGGCATGAAAATAGGACTTAGCTGACTGTTGAAAGACCTAGGCAAGTGAGGTTGCAGCTTCAGTCATCTTTGAATTTCAGTCTGATGTTCCTCTGAGTCCGGGCGGAAAATCAGCAAATGGATCTATGAAAAAGAGGGGCACTGAGTTAATGAATTAGAGCATACATGGGGCTGGGGCCTTGTACTAAGTGTATGTAAGTGTACTGTGAATGTTTTTGATTTTTAGAGTTGGAGCTCTTTTTTTTATTTAACCATTTATAAATTGAGAGTAATAGTAATTTTCCGTGTGTCCTCAAAGTAATGTTGAAAAGTTCGCGGTGTGTTGTCAGTATCTTAGAGCAATGTCAAAGGTAACAGGTTTGTTATCTGTTGGATTTGGGAAGCACCCTTTGGTGATGGTGATGAGTTATAGAGATGAAAGGAACCTGGGTAGCTCTGAGGGGCTCTGGATCTGGGGAGGGAGAGGAGCACAGCACCACTGTCTGGGCCGCAGGGTAGATGGTGGTTAGTGCTTAATTGTTAGAACAAATTGCTTGCTGTCTGTAGTGGCACAGGGAAGGAAGGACCAACAGACTCAAGGGAGAGTTCTTCTGGAAGGCTTCTTGGAGGACATGGGATGTGTGTTAGACCTTGAAGGATAACGTTGGCCTGGAATTTTCCTGGCCTCGGAAAGCTTGTGTTTAAGTCCAGGGTGGGGGTGGCAGAGCAAACAAGGGTGTGTTTGAGGAATGAATGGCAGCCAATCTATTCGGTTAAGTGACTTAACTCTTTCAAGCTTTAGTTGCCTCCTTTGTAAAAAGGATTAATGATAGTACCTATCTTAAAGATTGGGATAAGCTTTAGAAGCAGTAACCGATTTACAGAAGGTTAAAGAGATGACTCTAAGGTACATCCAGCAGCTGAAGTTTGGCCTTGAAGGTGAAAGTGGATTATTGCTTGAGAGGTGTCAGCCCCCGAGGAGGGTTTCCTGCACAGAGTCTGAGCCTGGTTACAGGCCACACTGTGGAGGGAAAGGGGGGAGATATCCTAGACTGTGGACAGTTGGGGACATCAGGTCCCATTGGAGGGGCTAACCTTGGGAAGGAATAAACTCTCTCCCCTCCCAGCCTGGAGAAAATGAAGAAATGAAAGGAAAACTGACACTAGAGTAATGGGATGGTGTCTCCTTTATCTTTTCCAAGTAGTCACTGTTTGTGAAAATCAGGTTTTAACTTGAAGGAAATGCATAATACTGAAAGTGGCTACTATAGTGAATGAGACTGGAAATGAGTTAAGGAGAACTAGATGAGTCAGCCTGATGAGGTTCAGAGTTTGGTAGTAAAACAATGATGGGGCCCCTGAAGAGTTAGCACATGGTGGAAGCCAGAAAAGTATGGTACTAGAAAATAAAGGACAGAGTCCCATGCTCTGGATTTAGGGAGTGGGAGAGGCCAAGTGTCCTGTATTTCTTCAAGAAGCTAAACCATTATTGCTTGAAATGAAGACTGATGTTTTCCTTATGTAAGTGTCTTGAAACTTTTTTTTGGTCTCTCTGCCTAGATCGGTGCAGCCCAGTGCTTGTGTGAATTCGTTTTATTTAGCTTTTGGCTGTGCGCGGTAAAACCAGGATCTTTTTCGTTTCAACCTAAGAGCTTGGTGAAATCACTTAACTACTTTCTGTCTGCATAAAATGAGGATTTTAATGTCTATTCACTTTATCCTTATAGTATAAACGTGGATTTTTCATGAATTATTACTTCCATTATTATCTACCAACCTAGGTCTAATGGGATCTTAGCAGCCTTCATTCATGATTAATTTGTACTTACTTGTGAAATGGACTTAAAACAATTTTTTTTGAAGTGAATTTCTTTGATGATGTACTTAAAAACCCAAAAGAAAGAAAGGAGAGGTACAGCGATAGAAGATTTGTCAGACTTTTTACCATTAGCTGTTCTTCATTATATTTCTTCCTGGTTACATTTCTGCCTTTGAACACTAGATGGGACTAAGATGACTTGTGTTACAATAGTAGCACAAAGGATTTCATAGCATTCCAACTTCTGAATGAAGTCTTGTCTGCTTATGGAGAGAGTATAAGTAAACTAGATACAAACAGGGCTGTTTTGATTTTCTCTATTGATATGCCTGCCCTGTTTATTTGAAATGGGGACTTTGATCAATATTTACATAATATTAAAACCTTATTATATAAGGAAGAGTCCAGTAGTACAGGAATGTATGGTCAAAATATGCCACAGTATTTTCCTTAATTGCAATTTGTAGAGAATTCCAATAATAATCAAAAGAATTAGTACCATCTAATGTTCTTACTTTAATCATCATGATCCTGGCAGATAATTATAAAAAGTACATGATAATAATTTGGGGGGGGGAATTAAACACATGTTACATACATGTTTGTTTTGTTTCATTTTAAATGAACCCTATATGAATGAACAGCTGTCCCTAAAATAAAGATGTCCCTAAAATAAAGGCAGTGTGTCATTACTAATCATAACCAAATTATTGTCTAGAAAAAGAATAGTATAGCCGGAAATAGAGCTTCATAGCTTCAATTATACAATTTATAACAGAATACATCTTAAGGAATTGTGTATTAAAATATCTTTTATGAATATATGTATTGTAGGAAATGTATCAATTGCTGTATGAACTTGATGTTGACCTGATAGTGCTTATTTGCCTTTTACATTTCTAAAGTGACATACATATGTACATGTAATCCTGATGTATAGATTAAGAAAAATAATTGTGTGCCCTGGCTGGGTGGTTCAGTTGGTTGGAGTGTTGTCTTGTACACCAAAAGGTTTTGGATTCAGTTCCCAGTCAGGGCACATACCTAGGTTTCAGGTTCAACCCCCTGTTGGGGCACCTACGGAGACAACAGACCGATGTTTCTCTCGCACATTGATGTTTCTCTCTCTCTTTCCTCTCTCTAAAAATCAATAAACATGTCCTCTGATGAGTATAAAAAAGAAAAATAATAGTGTGGGGGTGGGTGGGTAAGAGATAAGTGAATAAAGGAAGAAACCTGTAAATTTAAAGGTATTTTCTACTAAAATAATTTTGAGAAAAATCAGCATTAAATTGGGGTTACGTAAACGCACCTTGTGTTACTCTTCACAGTTGTTCCCTTAGAAAGATTGATTTGGAATGTGGTGACTATATGTTAATGTCATTCACTTAACACTTTTCTTAGTTCTTTGTTTTTACTACTTGTAAGACTTTTTATTCACCAAGAACTCCAACCACTGTTACCTTCCTGGCTTTCTGTCTTCTAGTTTCCCATCTAGAGGACTGTGTTGAGATTTCCTGATCTTTCAGGATGGACTGTGCAGATCTGGTTTATAAAGCAAGACTGGACTCCTTGGCATCCGTTAGATCATCATTTCCTAAATTGTGTTCTGCAGAACATTAGTGGTCTATATGATGTTAACGGGTTGCTGACCAAAGTGGCATTTTGTAGTGAAATATCTTTAGGAAATGCTAGGTTAAACCATTTGAAGCTGGTTTGTTTATAGTATAATGTCACAGTCTAATGTGCTAATGATGTGTTCTGTAAATCTCTAAGAAGGAGATGTATTTTCATGAAATATTTTGACTTTGATTTTTTTTTTGCACACTTGATTATGCCTATTAGCTTTGAGAATACAAATGGGAAATGTTCTTCCAACTTTTTAAAAAAGATACTAATTGTGACACACCTCTAGATACCTATATATTTTGTAACACTATTATAACTACTCCCTTGAATATTGATTTTGTTTGCCTGGCAAAATCCCAGCTCTGGTTGCATCCAGCTTTCCGCCTGGTGTATGTCTCTACCTGAGCAGTTGACTATAGCTGGAGACACACACACACTTACACACACACACACAATGCTGATTGGTGTGACTTCACCTTCATGACCACTAATCTCAAGTGGGCCCTTAGTTCTGTCCCAGAATCTTGCTATAGATCCTTGTCTAGCCTTCTAGAAAACTTAATTTCACTCCACTTTCCCCCTCAGATTTCTCACACCCCCTTTCCTGTTCTCTCTCTCAGTCAATCACTGAGAAAAAAGGCACAGAAGAGGTGTCCGCATGCTTCCAACACCTCGTCTGCGGGGTACCTTCCTGATCTCTGCCTGTAGACAGACCTCTGTAACGGGGTGATGCACCTGCTCTCGCGCACAGGATTCCCTTCCTTCTTTCTGAGTCAGTTCTTTCTTCTGCATCCGTTGGCCATCCCTCTCTATTGAATTATTTCTACCAGTATCAAGCAGAGCAGGGATTTTTGTTTTGATAGCTGTTGGAGTCCTCGCACCTAGAATGGTGCCCTGATCATGGTGGTGGCTCAGCATATGTTTCTTGAATAAATGAAGTCATATTTCCCATCCTTTAAAAAAACAGTTTATTTTGAAGTCATTCTAAACTTAAATTTGTAAAACAGTACAATTTCCACATGCCTTGCCCAGCTTCCCTTAAATATTTTCCAACTTAAAAACAACAAAAACACCTTCCCTTTTGCTATTTGTCTCATATCTCTGCTTCCTTTAAGAACAGAACTCCTTAAACATTATTTTCTAAACTAGCTTCTCCATCTTTTCATCTTCCTCTTTTTCTTAAACCCAATCTAGTCAAGCTTTTCCCCTTTCCTACCCCCAACTCCAACAAAACAGCTCTTTATCAAGGATGCTGCTAATGACCTTTACATTGGTAAATGCAAGGATCAGTTCTTGGTATTAATGTAGTGGGTGAGTGAAAGATCCTTTGGTGTAGCTTTTTTTTTATTCCAAATAAGATCAATTTTAATAAGGTGTTCACTATCTCTGATTAATGTTTTTCTACTTTTACTAGTATTTGACAATTTGTCCTGAAGATCATAATTTTTAAATTTATATAATCTACAGGTGTGAAGCATCCAGTCCACACATCCATCCTGTTGGCTGGTGTAAAGAACATAGAAGAGCCCTTATCACTCCTCCAGGTTTGTGTTTATTGTATGTCTAGTATTATTCACATATATCAGAAGTCAGCAAACGTTTTCTGTAAAGGGCTAGATAGTAAATGTTTTTGACTTTGTAGGCCATACAGTCTCTCTCACAACTCCAATTCATATTCAACACTACTAAGTTTTTTCTAGTTTTCTACTTTCCATAATTATACCCCTCCTTTTAGTCAGTGAGAAATCTGGCTTCTGTTATTTCTGATATATTTACTGGTGTTTTCAGTCCCCTTTAGTCAATTTCCCATCCTGCTCCGGGCTACTGTTAATTTCTGCTTAAGCCTACCTAATGGATTTTGAACTCGAGGAAGGACAAGGGTGCAGGAGGGAAAAAGGATAGTTGCTTTTAGACATTATATTATGTTTTGTCATATTTGTTGTAGCTAACAATATGATGGTATATCTGGAATATTTCCTATATTAGTATATATAAATCTACCTTATTCTTGTTCACAAATACTTTCTATTTTATACATACTATACACTTTTTTTGCACATTTCTACATTGATGGTCATTTAACTGGTATTTACATTTTCACATTTACAAGCAATGGTGCATTGTCTTTGTACACATATGTGAGAATTTCCTAGGTTATTAGAAATAAAATTGCTAGATAAAAGGGTATTTATGGTTGTGTGTTAGCGTGTGTTTGTGTATGTCTTGTGTTGTAATACTGTTCTTACCTGAGACCGTAAATTGTACATATACATATATATTAAATTTTCATTTAAAAGTTGATAGGGAAATCATGACCAAGATGAAAACAGTTTTATAGTTCTGAATGTGTAACTAGTTTAAAGTTATTATGTGTAATAAAACATAACTTCCTACATTATAATGGTAGTATTTCATAATATTATAGGTCAGTTTGTGGTTCTCACTGTCATTTTGGTTAAACCTAATAGTAATTATTTTTTTTTCTTTTTTAGGTTATCCAAATGTGAAACATTTTTCTTGGGATAAATACTTAGAAGAAACCAATTCCTTACCTGCTCCTGCAAGAGCTTTTAAAGTGGTGAGAGAATATATTTTACAATATTTGATTAATTTTTGTTGGTAATTTCTTTCCCTGAAATACAAAAACAGAAAGAGGGATAGCCCTGGTGAACTAGAATAAGAATGGGAGGAAAACAGAAGACCAAAGTGCTATTTCTGAATTTTATAATTTGAAAGTCAAAATTGTTTCTGGGGTTTTTGTTGTTGGCATCTAAAAAATACTTCCATTTTGGACTTTAAATCTCGTTGGAAAATAATTATGTTTGAGTCAGTGTGGAATGAGTTGTTTGTATACCAAACTTCTCTTTCTCCAGCTAGATATTCTTTATTTTTTATTTATTTATTTTTTTAATTGCTTCCAGAGAGAGGAAGGGAGGGAGGGGACATCTGTTGTCTCCTACATGCGCCCCAAATGGGGATTGAACTAGCAACCTGGATATGTGCCCTGACTGGGATTCAAACTCACCACCCCTTTTGGTGTTATAGGATGATGCTCCAGCCAACTGAGTCACACTGGCCAGGGTCAGCTAGATATTCTGAAAGACCAATCAGAACAGGGCATTGTTTTCTAATGTCAATTATATCCAGTAATTCCTTTGAATTTGTTTATGACAAGTTGAGATGCTATTTTTATTTTGTTGCTATAAATTAGCTTGCTTAATTACCAAAATACAGGGTTATCTGCTTTTATAATAGTATCTTTCTAAACCTGGGTCATTGTTTCTTGCATATTAAGATTCAGATTCAGAGTAAACCTTATTTGTGTGTAAAGGAAGAATAAGAAATGAGAAATGTATTTTTAAATGTTTTTTATTTCAAACAACTTGCTTTATAATTTATATTTTCCATGAATTTAAAGGAAAAGAAAGCTGTTAAATATTAAAAATTTTTTACTGTGACATAATTAGTCTATTATAAACAAATCTTTTCTTTAAATGATCTTTTTGTATATAAATTGCTAGGATTTTTAAAGGTAGAATTAATTAGTAGGTATGAACCCAAATATATAAAAATGAACATTAGAAATTTTAAAGGAAAACTTATATTACATGAAAAAGCCACATCAAAGGTGTGTATTTCATTTGATGGTAAATTCAGAATTTAAAAATGAGCCATGTTAGACTTATGCCATATTTATGAATTTTTATCTTTCTAACTTTAACTTAGGCCAGTACAAAGAGCTGCATTGCACTTTGCTTTAAACTGGATAATACTACATCAAGATCAGTCTACATGTCGAGTTGATATCAGAGAGAAAACTAAAATTTCTCTAGTTTGGCTTTTAGGTGCCATATTGATTGTTTTGTATCTTGTACATAATTTTTACACCTAATTTTCAGAGAAACTCTTTTACTACATCCATTTTATAGAAGAAAGATGTGAAGTTCAGAAAACTTAAGATGTTTGCCTAACATACCAAATAATTACCTTGCCTTCTGCGGCCTTAGCTTTTTCAGAGGTTTTCAGCTTTCTGCTGAGTATTGAGGTATAGGCCCTCATTCTCATTCCTGTTCTTACTAGAGTGATTCTGTCCTGCGTGGTTTGATTGCGTATTTTCTTTTAAAGATACCTACTGTTTTTTGCTTTTATTACCACCTTTAATCTTGGTATCTTAATTCTGCCATTTTAGTGTTTTTTCTTTTTAAAAATAGTTTTCACGTTCGTTGATTTTTGCCAAGGTACCTCCAACTAATGAGAAAAAATTTTTGTCTTCCCTATGCCTAATCAAATAATCAAAATATTTTGAATTTCATCTTAAGATCTTTTGCTTTCTGTTTGCTCCTATAGGCTAGGTAGCCAGACTGTTTCTGTTGCCTGAGGGCTTGGCCTTGTGACGTGGGATTGTGTTTTTGATAAAGGAGGATAAAGTCCAAAGCCAGTCATAGAACTTGAGAGTTTGAAAGGCTGGTTTTCTGTATCGCTCATCTTTTAAAAAAAAAATTTTTTTAAATTCTATTTTTATGACATAGAGCCCACCTTCTCTTTCTCTTAATTTCACTGGATATAATTTTCTATTATGACAGAAACCTCCACATGGATTCCAGAAAAAAATGAAGCTGGAGGTCATAGACAAAAGGAATCCCATGTTTATTAGAGTGGCAACAGTGGCAGACACAGACGATCACCGAATAAAAGTAAGTGCTTTCCGCTGTGGTTTTGCTTCGCCTTTTGTTGCAAGATGCCGTGGATGGAAACTTTAGCAGAACTTTAATTTGTGAAGTCCTACAATTAGGAAAACCACAGTAATATGCAAATTAAGTGGCTGTGCATCTTCATAAGTCAGTATCTAGTTTTTTTTCTTTATGTAAATTTCTTCAATTATGATTGGCTTTTAATATGTCATATCTACTTTCTCCAAACACAGAGTAGTAAAAGTCAGTCATAATTAAGAGATTTTTTATGTACATAATAGAGACATTTCCTCTGACTAGAATAACTCACTTGCCAGTAGTGTGCTCTTTTTTTAAAAAATTGAAGGTTAATGTTATTTTATGGGGTATGTTAGATGTAGACTTTTAAGAAGGATATCTTACCTTTTAATATAGGACAAGTAAAAAGAAATAATTTTATGAATAAAATCAGTTTGTAGTTAGAGTTGGTTTAATAAAAGCCAAGTACCTCTCTTAAAGTAAGCAAATGTCTGGGAAGATGGGCTCAGTTTGTCTCAGTGTGATGAATTGTAGCAGCAGCTCCAGGGGAGCAGTCAGGACGTCTCGTCTCCGTTTCTGGTTTCAGCATTAAATTCAGTCGCAAACCAGAACAATATGCGTTGTGCTTGCTTCATAGGCTCTTTTAGGATTTCTATTAGGTATAACAATAGTTATAATCACAGCCAGATGTTGGATTTACACAGTGTTTTACAGGGTAACATTTGTGGTGATAACCATGTGGGAGATTTATGTTATTATCGGTATTTTGTTGATGAAGCTGAGGCTTGGAAAGACTGTAAATGAATTCCTTATTAATTATGGGCAGTGGCAGAACTAGGCCACAGTCCTAAACTGTACAAGTCCAAATTTATGCTTTTTAAAAATAATAATAATCACATGCTTAACTATCTTTAATGAGATAATATATAAGAAAATAAATTACAAAATAACATGAAAACCTGTACAAATGTGATATATTTATAAAATAGAAATTTTAACCTTTAATTCACTATTTTTAACATATAGTTACTTACTATTAAAATATTTTATAAATAATGGAATGTCTGTGTTAACTTTTTCAAGTATATTTTCATAACTGTCTTTGGTAATAATGTAAATCATAAAGCAATCGGAGTATGTCTAGATGATGTTAAATATTTTAGAAGAATATTTAGTATTGGCAAGTGAAAATTTCAGAATTTGCGTGTGATGAGCAGAATTTTTTTTTTTTAAGTAATAGATGTATAAGCAATTATGGGAACATATAAAAATAATGACAGTGCTTCTCTTAGAGTGGGAGGATTACAAGTGATAAGGTTTTTCTATTTTATCTGGTTTCAGGAATACATGTTACTTTTGTAATAAAAAGTTTCAAGTCTGTGGATTTTGATGCTAGGATTAATTGATTTCTAATTGTGAGAAAGTAGATTCTTTCCGAATGATGTTATTTTGAGCCCATATATGTGTACTTTAACGAGTCAGCTGTGTACTGTTCCATCATTAAATCTATCATAATTTATTTAGCCAGTTCCCTGATGTGGGCACTCTGGTAGTTTTTTTACCACAGTGAGTTGAGCTATTGAGATTCTCAAGTCAAGGATAATGTATTTTATAAGTGTTGACTGTTACTACCAAATAACTCTCCAGAAATATCTCACCAGTTATCAGTCATCGATCAGAACACCCATTTATTCTCATATTCACCAGCTCTAAGAATCACCAAACTGGAACATTTTTGGCAGGTTGAAAAGAGAACAATTGCATCTTGTGGTTTTAATTTGTAGGGGTTTTTTTAGTTATAAGTGAAATTTATTATCTTTTTATATGTTTACTAACCATTTATATTTATTTTCTTATTTATGAACTATTTGTATCTATTTTTCCGTTTTATTGAGTTTTCATCTTTTTTATATTGATACGTGATTTTTTTTATAAATTAAGGAACAGAGTGCATTGTCACCTGTGTAACGAATGTGTTTCCGGGTTTCTAGTAGGTCTTCTCTCTTACTTGCAATATTTCCCTCTGATGTTTTAAATTTCGATATAGTCAAATTGACCATTCGTTTCTTTTGTGGCTTTTGAGTTCGGAGTCTTGCTTATAAAGGCTATTCCACTCCAGGATTACCAGTACGTTCACTCATGCATCCTTCTAGAATGTTTATTGTTTAGTTGTTAATGTTTGAATTTTTTATCCATTTGACATGTATAGTCTTGTAAGGAGTAAGAGATTCATAGACTTTAAAAAGGAAACCTAGATGGCAAACTTGACTTAAAAGTAAAATATACAGGGTGCGGCAAAAGTAGGTTTACAGTTGTTCATATGGGAAATAATATAATTAATAAATAATAATACAAGAATAAACTCTTTCACGTACTCACAATTGTAAACCTACTTCTCCCCCACCCTGTATATGGCCTGTCAGTATATCCTTTTGCCCTAAAAGATAAAAAATATGTAATACTTAGAAGATATTTAGCTGATTCTTAGTGACCATGCCTGAAAGACCACCTGCCCTTTTACCTGATGACCCATAAAGATGGTAGCACTGACCAATCTGTAAAACCTCTTTGAGAGATACTGTAATTATTTATGAGAAAAAATACCTAAAAATGCATTTGATGGATATTTTGTAAACTGGGTATATTTAATAGGGCATTGAATTTTTCCAAACAGAGTCTTTTTTAACATAATTCTAGGAGACTTGACATTTATATCAAAGGTCTTCCTGCCTCCGCACTCTCCCCTGCCGCCCTCCCTCCCTCTCCTGATTTATGCATTACTTCAGTAGTATTTATTGGGTGTTTGGTGTTGCTCCTGTGGAGATGTTAAGTACTCAAGTTGCTTAGTGGGAGATCTCTATGTAATATATCTGTAGAAGTATTGCCAAAAAAGTGCCTTTGGCAGGACATTTATTGATGGTTAGATCATTTGAAGAGCAGTCAAAAGTGCCTCTTGTCTCATAGTGTGGATGAAGCAATTTAATAATTGAAACAATTTATATGGTATTAAGTCTTTACAAGTTACAAGAGAATGAATGTGACTACAGTGGGCAGAACTTTCACCATAGGAAATTTCAGACCTGAATTGCTTCATTTCTTTTTCTTTTCAGGTTCACTTTGATGGCTGGAATAGCTGCTATGATTACTGGGTAGATGCAGATTCTCCCGACATCCACCCTGTGGGCTGGTGTTCGAAAACCGGGCATCCTCTTCAGCCTCCTTTGAGTAAGAAACACAAGGAGACAAAAAATGTTTCCATTTTCTTGTGTAATGCTTAATATTTTCTTTTCATGCACTCTTCTTTCTACTGCACATTTTTTCTCTATGTAATCCTTGGCCCAGTTACTGCATTTTTAATTACTTGGTAGCAAAAAATATATAAAAGAAAAAATTTAGTATCTGAAAAAGGAAAGTGGGTATAGACATTCTTTACTTTTACTTAGAAGTAGTCATCACCTTTTAAAATTAGTACTGAATTTTTGGAAGACAATTTTTTAGACTATCAAAATGTCTCATTGTCAGTATCCTAATAGTGAGTTTATAGTATAGTTTTGCAAAATGTTATCATAGGGAGAAAGTGGATGAAATGTATAAGGGAACTCCCTCTGGCCCTGGCCAGTGTGGCTCAGCTGGTTGAGCATCTTTCCCTGCACTAAAGGGTCACCAGTTCAATTCCCAGTCAGGGCATATGCCCAAGTTTCAGGTTCAGTCCCAGGCCGGGGTGCATACAGGAGGCAAACGATGTATGTTTTCTCTTTCTTTCTCTCTTTCTCCCTCTCCCCCCCTTTCTCTCTTCTCTCTCTCCCTCCTCCTTCCTCTCTCTCTAAAATCAGTAAAAACTTTTTTTTTTAAAGGGATCTCCCTCTGTATTATAACTTATGACTGCATGTAAACCTACAATTACCTCAATAAACATTTCAATTATATTAAGTTTTTTTTAATAACTGACATGACATGGTATTGGTCACAGCATGTTTAATATAACAAAACCTGGAAACAAATGTTGGTTAAATAAACTGTGGTGCATGCATGCTACAGATACCATGCAACAGTCATAAAGACTCTTCCTATTGATATGGAAAGAATGATAAGACATGGTCTTTAACTTAAAGACCAAAGAAGAGTGATTCAGAATAGTACACATCAGTGTTGCCCTTTTTATGTGGCAAAATAAAATAAAAAACTTGATACATGTATTAGATGTACTGGATGCTTAGAACAACATCTGGGAGGGCCCATATTAACTGAGGTTATGAAATGTGGGAAGGGGGTAACTTGAATGGGATCCGTAACTATTCTTTTTTCTCCAGTGCATTTGAAGTTTCCACAGTGTGAGACTCATGTATTATGTTATTTACTTGAAAAAGTTGTTTAGAATATCATTAATTCTGATTAGGTATCTCTGGAATTTGTGACATTTTGAAAGGGTTTTAGATGAAAGTTTACAACTTCACTATTGAAGAAAGACAGTGTGATCAGAGCCATAGTGGAGCACCTTTAGAAGTAGAGACTTTGAAGATATTTTTAATTTTATAGAACCTACTTTTTTTTTTGTTTATATGTATTGATTTATGTATTGATTGCAAATTGGATTCCTTCTGGTTAACTTTATGGTTTGTTTTGGTTTTTTTTTGCTTTGTCATAGGCCCCTTAGAATTAATGGAAGCTTCGGAACAAGGTGGATGCTCAACCCTGGGATGTAATGGAATTGGTCATTTCAAGAGAGCGAGACACCTGGGCCCTCACAGGTGTGTGGTGCTGCGGCTTGTGGGGATTCCATACGTGGTCAGAGAGAGGGTGTCTCATGTACAAGATAATGGTTTTCACGTATACTGAATAGATGTGAACTAATTTTAAATTCGGATCCATAGGAAATGTGGTTACCATGGTGATCCTATAAAAATAAACAGTATACCTGTAGTTAAATCTTCCCAAGAGAAAACACAGTCACAGTTTAAATAGATTCACTCTCGCTTTTTGGTTTTTCTTGGCAACATGACAAGTATAGACACTTAGCCTCTGAAACAGTTATTTTGGGTTGACTGTTAATAATGAGGAGAAGGCAGGTCCTGTTGGAACTGTTTGGTAGAATATTATAGGGTTGGGTGACACAACAATTTGAATACAGAGAGGTAATACTGTAGTAGATTAGCAAAGATCACAAAAAGCACAAATATAGTCAAACATGAGAATGTGTTGATCAGAAAGGCATTTTTCAATATTTTTCTCTTACCTGTAAGTAACTAAAAAAAGAAACCAAATTTATACATTTGAAATTCAATGTATTATTTAGGCAATTCAGGGGTCTTTTTAGATTTTTAAGTTTTTACTGAGATACTGAGAAATTGCTGTGACTTAAGTGGGTTTTTTAAAAAACTAAAGCATTATCTCTTTAGGTGCCTATTAAAATAACCAGTCAGTATAACTGTTCTAACTGCATGCTAATTGGATTGCCTGGTGAGAAGAATGAGTCCTTGGTTATCTAGATTGTGCAGGTTGTGAATCCAGGTCTTTAAAATACCTAAAGCGTGCACTGCCTGTTTCTCTGAGAGTTAATAGGAATTGTAAAGTTGGTGCGATTATTTTCATCTCTGTACAGTTCCCGCCTCACTCCTCTCTACCACCTCTCTACAGTGCTGCTGATCTTCCTTTTGCAACCCTCCGCCTGAGCTATTTTTATGAGGTTCAGCATGTTCTAGAGTAAAAAGTCTTGAGCATAGGATGATGATTCCATTTGCAAATATCCATTTAAAAACCCGTTTTGTTGTTTGTATGGTTGCAATCCAAAAGTTAACGTGATTAATTTAAACTGAGTTAAAAATACTGTACCTTAGGAGTTATTTAGTGTTGCCAAGTAAAGAAGACTAGATTATTTTCAGACATTATGTAAGTCTAAATGCCAGAATAACTCATTAGCATGCTGAATTTCCATTAGATATTTATAAATTCTTTTGTTCAGTAAATATTTTTGAGCAGCAGTTTTTCCCTCCCTTAATAACTAAGCTTATTGAGCATTAATTTATTCTGTGGGATATTTCACTAATTGTTTTACATGTTTTGGATGACCTTCAAATGACCCTGTAATACAGAACTGTTTTTTAATCCTAATTTTTGAAGAGGCCACTGTGGCTCTTGGAGGTGTACTGACTTGCCTAAATGACTCTGGTTGAGGAAGGAGCTGGAGTTTTAACCCAAGGGTCTGTGCTCTTGGCCACTTCCTTCTCACTGCCTGTCAAGGACTACTCCATGAATTAGTCCCAGACCCAACCTTCAAAAATCTCATGGACTCATGGAGCTCTATGTAAGCTGTACATAATTTAATTAAAATATGGACACAGAATGGTAACTGAATATTGAAACTTGCAAAGGCATTTAAAAAATGTATGAATATTGACATTATATTGTTGGGCTGCAGTTGAAAATTTAAAAAAATATTTATTTGGTCTTCTGGGAAGAAAACCCACCTTACAGCAACGTCCATAATCTCTTTAGGAGCGCTTTTAGTCTAAACCAAGAGTTTGGCCTGTCACTGCAAGGTCTGTGATGGCATTCCTGTGCCCCTCAACCCTCATGGCCCTGGCCACTCCTCAGGATCTCCTTTCCCCAAGTGCACCATGGACCTCTGAGGGTTATTCCGCTGGCCACACCCTCTTCACAAAGTTCCAGTGGTTATCTTTGGAGCATTTCTTCAGAGGTGCAGTGTTGTATTTGCTGAAAGCAGGGAACAGTGATGGGGACAATCGTGGAAGATTTTATGGAGAAATGTGATAAGGCAATATTTCAGTGTAATTAGAACCATAGTAGAGAATTACTCATTTTTTTTGGAACGAGAGAAGTAGCCTTATGCCTTAAAAGACACGCATTGATAAGCTGTGTTTAGGGCATAACTCGTAGATCTGTGCATAAGTCTCTCTAGAGCCTCAGAGAGCAGGATGCATTCAGAGAACTAGTGGGCAGTCAGCTCCTGCCCACGTCCTGTCGTTCTTATTCTCAGCCCCTTCCACTGGCCTTTCTTAGTCTCCCTGACTCTGATCTCCTATTTACAACACTCAGAGCTCTTTATCTGGCAGGATATTAATTTTTAACAGGCACAGCCTGTTTACCATTTCATTAGTAGACTTGTGGACTAGCTGCTGCATCATGGGTATGCTCTGAAAGGCTCATTTCACTGGCACTTTTGTCCTTGCTGAGAATGCTGTGTGTAGGAAAACATAATGAGAAAATTCTCTTTGGATTAATTTACTGAGAAGCTGCATAAATCAAAACATGCATTCTTTGCTTAGATAACAACGAAAGTTTCTCTTCTCGCAAGAATAATCTGTTTTATAAACATGTAAGCAGAGGCCTACGTTTTGACTTGCATTTTTTGTTAGCCTCTCTGAAAATTATAATAGTTGGGTTTGCTCTAAGAAGTGTTAGAAATAGAACATGTATCTCAACAACAGAATTTAGAATGTAGTGTTTTTAACTGCTGAAATCTAAATGATCCGTAATGGAGTTGGATATGGTGTTCCCATCCCTAGGCGTACTTAGTAGTCAGATTGCCTTATTAATATTGGTTGCTTCATGGTGTTTCTCTTTGCTGATTCATTCATTTGGTCTACTGAGAGGTCAAAGAATGGGAGGAATTTAAAGGGGGGCTAAAGTCATACAAAAGTCCATGTTCTACATATCTAGTGCCTTCAGAAGTAAATCTTTCGCGTGTAGGATTTGATCTTGGAGAAATTAAACAAGAAAAGAAAAAAATAGTATTTCCTACAACCTCTAAAAGATATTTATCAAATCCATGGAAAGTTTTTGGACAGAAACCTGCGAACTATAAACACTATATTAACTCGATATCCATCCATCCATCAGGCACTTGCCGGGCCTGCCTTACGCTAGGCTAGGTGAGGGGCTGCACAGAGGAGAGGGCCCCTGTTTCTAAAGGCAGGCGTGGGGCGGCAAATGCAAATGAAGGGTGCTCAAGGGAGGAGTGTGTGAGGAGGGATGGGCAGTGCCCTAGAACTCGGGACCTGCTGCTTACGCACTGCTTAGGAATGAGCAAGCTCAAGTTCTGAGACTGTTTTCTCATCTGTAAAATGAGGATGACAACAGCAGTAATGACCGTGGACCGAATGCATGACCAAAGGCCAAGTGCTTTACTTGCGTTGCCTCATTTAATTCTCACAACCCTGGCAGGTTGTCCCTATTCTAATGCTCATTTTATAAATGTAGAAACCAAGGGTTTAAAAAGGGAACTTGCTCGCTCGCACTCACTTAGCTCTTGGTGGCGTTACACTGTGAGCTCCGGCTGCGTCCTGACCATCACGCCGTATCAGTTAGCAGTACCTCATGGTGCTGAAGAATTTCCTTATCCTTAATCTACGACAGTTACATCCATCTTTTAGCACTGTCTCCTAGCGAGATGCTGCTATCATAGAGCAACTGTGTATAGAGCTAATACTTAACTTCTCTGTGCCCATTTCCTTGTTTTTAAGTTTACAACATTCCTAGTTTTAAAATAATAACTTTATAAACTCACCAGTGCTGATCAAATGTCTGTGGAAACAGTGGGTTCTCACTAGGCTTGAATTACTTCTAGTTTTTCATGTACTAAGTTTCTGGTGATGAAACATAAGTCATGTGTGTCCCATCACATGTGTGTATTTAGCCTTGGTTACTCACATGTATACAGACACACAGAACTCCTTACTGTTACACAGGTCCTCAGATTGCGTATATTCACAAAAGATTTCAAGCCCTTTATGTAAGCACTTTATTAGTGTGCACCCTGTTCTATTAGCAAATAATTCCCTATCAGCTATACATACAAATACTTGCCCCTCTGGGCCCTCTCGAGGCAGTTTCTCCTGGGAAAGACTCGTCTGGCTTATTAGGATAGGTAAGAGGACTACCTTGTTCAGCCCTCCACATAAAGCATCTTGAGTGATTGTTTTAAGTTGTAAATCAAAACTTACTATTCCCTTATTTGAAGGCCCTCGAGTGACTTCAAATCAACACTAAGCTAAACATGAACTCGTGGCTGTGGCAATCAGGCCCTACATAAAGTTCTCCGTGCCTGTGCATACTGTGTCTCCTTTCCCTGCTTGCTTCACTCTAGCCAGCTGGCCTGGCTTTCCCTCAAACATGCCAAGCTCTCCCTACGTTTCTACTACTATTCCGATGTCCTGGAGTGCTCCTCCCTGGGCTGACAGTGCTCTTCCTCCTGACCATGAGGGCACTGCTCAAATGCTACTGCTTCAGGGAGGCCCCTCCTCACCAGCAGTCAAAACCCACTTCTCTCATGTTACACTCCATGGTGTTTGTCACTACATGAAGTTGTCTAATTTATTTAATTGTGTAATTGTGTATTACCCATCTCACCCTAGAATTTCGGCTCTGTGAGAGCAGAGAACTCGTCTTTATTTTCCACTGTGTTTCCAATGCCTAGAAAGGTAATTAGCACATAATAGATACTTTGTAAAATACTCGTTGAACAAATGAGTGAAATAATTAAAGACTGAAATTACCTAACCCTTTTAAGCCTTAGTTTGTCACATGAACAGCCTTTCTTGCAGGCTCTTGTGCAGATTAAGTAAAATGCTTTGTGTAAAGCACTTAGCGCAGTGCTTGATACATAGTAAGTGCTCCATTAATGCCACCAGTTATTGTTTTCATTATTATTGGGTTAAAATTATATACATTTATATCATCACATGTTCTTTACTTCCTTTGCATAGATATCAGTGTAGAGTAGCAGGTAGTTAAAGAAAACAAAGATTGCCTTTTTGTTTATAAGATGTATGTGGTAAATTTTATAGACTATTATCAGAATCACTTGGGAGCATCTTTAGACTCCTACCTCTTTCTCTTGGGAGAATATATCAGATTCTCTTGGTAGAGGGTAGACATGCAGTGTTTAAAAATTTTCTCTGGGTGATTATCAGCATTCTTACTATCACCTAAACTGAGGAAAAGAATATGTAAGACACTAATTTACCTAAGGTACAAAACCACTTTTAGATTTAAGGAAGCTTCCTAAAAACAGAGGTGCAACATAGGCAGTTAGTTGGAGGGGGTGATTGTGGGTTCAGATACAGAGGTTTCTAGTTCTGGAGCCTAGAAATCTGAGGCCCAGGCACAGAAGGGTTTTGACCTAGATTTCCTTTTCTTGGATAACAGGAATGATCCCCAAGTGGGACCCGAGAGACCAACCAGTGGTCACTGATGGAAGTGAGCTAGATGGGACTTTATCCAAGTTGACATCTGTTCCCTTCTCATATTAGGGACAGGATCAGCTAGAGATGGATGTGTATTTTCTAGGATGTCAGGTGCACTTCCAGACCTGGAGACAGCAGTGTGGAGTAAACTCCTTCCTTTTGAGGGCAGCAGCTGTTATGAAGGAAATTAAACAGCGTGTGACGACCCTGGGCCTGAAGGATCACTTTAGAAATCTTCTCCACCCATCTGTCCATGAATCCTCTCTGTCCCACCTCTGTCACCAGTCCTCCTGTGATGTCTCAAGTATTTTTCTCTTAGGGCTGATTATTTCTAGGGATGTGGGCAGGCCCTGCCCCAGACAATATAGAGGGGATCCTACGGTGACCATGGCCCAGTTCCAAGGACTGCATCAGGTTGCTTCTAAAAATGGAGTGCAAAGACATTTTTCTATCAAAATATACTTAGAATATGGGTTTTTTTAAATTAAATGTATTGGGGTAATGTTGGTTGATGACGTAAGTTTCACATGTATAATTCTATAGTATGTCATCTGTATATTGCATTGTGTGCTCACTACCCAAAGTCTAGTCTCCTTTCATCACCATCTACTTGACTCCCTTTAGCTTATTCATCCTTCCCCCAAACCCCCAAACATACAAACAAAACCAAAATATGTTTTAAAAATAACTATTTCGTACTATTTAATCATACGTATACATATACACATAATACACATGCATACACACATTTAACCTGCTCAGTTAAGTTTTGACATTTCATGTTCTGTACCCTGGTACTTCAGTTGGAAGAAGGGCTTTCTAATGGAAATGTTCTTTTCTTTTAATATTTAGTGCTGCCAACTGTCCCTATTCAGAAATCAATTTAAATAAAGACCGCATCTTCCCAGACCGCCTAAGTGGGGAGATGCCTCCGGCTAGTCCATCATTTACGAGAAATAAAAGGACAGACACAAATGAAACCACCTCATCTCCTGAAATCAGGTAATTTACGTGATGATATTAGTGCTGTTTAGAAGTCCTCTGGTAGAAGAGACTTTCTGTCTTAGACGTTTTATGTTCTATGGTAATGTTTTCTTGTACATTATTGAAAATTCACCTGATTTAAGGTGAAATGATGGAGCTCAGCTCTCGAACTTCTTTTAAATTAGGGAGAGTGTTCATACAAGCACATCGAAGGCAGGCAGGACTTCTTCCTTCTCCTTTTAGCTGAACTTGCTTGGTGTTGAATGAATTGGTCTATATTTATATAGAGCCACCTTTTATTATAGAGATGGCACACTCCTTCTGAAAATGGACATTATTTCTTCTTAGTGCTCATTATGTGCCAAGTACTTGCATAGACATTATTTCATGTAACTTAAAATGTTAATTGTACTGTAAGCAGAGTCATTTAGTTTTGATTTCAGTTACAGCGTTGAGTTGGGATGTTTTAGCCTCAGTGGATTATGTTAAGTAAAGAACTAAGTTTTGTGTGATACATCTTTATATATTATATATTAACCAAGGACACTACTAAAAGAAACAGCTGATTAATAGAAAGATGCTCCTTAATGCTTAAGTTTGGGGAGTTTCTTTTATGGAGCATTTTAAAACCTAAGGCAACATAGTTCTTTGTTTATTTAAATATTGTATTACTTCCATCCTTATGAATGAACAAGGTACGTATTTGAATTACTACGTCTGGTTCTGAATTCGTAGCAGTGTTATTGGAGTAATGGCATTTCAACTATTGGTGTCCTTCTAGAAAAGCAGTATTGCCCTGTGCATGGGGGAGAGCTGTAACTTCTTCAGTTATTCACAGCAGTGATGATGTTTTTACCCTTCAAACCGTGACTAATATACGCAGCCCCGCACCCTAAAATGAGGATATATTACTGGAAGAAATTTACTCTAAGATAAAAGTACTAATTCACATAGTAATAATTACAGAAACAGAGTTCATTGACTCACAAGGTGGGAAGAATACCTAGAGTTTCAGATTTTTCAAAAGCCATATTGTTTAAAACATCAGCAGAATTCTCCAAAGGGCCAGTAGTGCCAGCTTGCAGGCACTTTGCTAACCATCTGGGCTCCAGGCCAGATACTTGGGGCTAGAGTCTCCTCAGAGCAGAAAAAGGTAGTCAGTTTGGATGACTTCTTAGGGTGCTTTTAAACTCGAAGTCTGTGTAAGAAAAGAGTAGTTTACAGTGGATCTAACCATTACAGGCGTTGGTCTGTCTGCTGTGAAGGTGTGGTCATGGTTCTTCACATCATCACCCCTGATTCCGGAGATAATCTCAGACATTTTATGTTTTCTATAGTAACCCACAACATGTGTCATATCTGAAGATTTTTTACCTCACATATATTTTTAGCCCGTACTATCTGAGTCAGTGAATCCTGACCTGCCATTACTTCTGTGTGAATTAATACTTACATTTATTTGTATTAAATTTTTTTATTTTGGGGTGCCAGGATTTGGCAAACGAGCATCACACTATTCATGATTTTTAAAGTTTTGTTCAGATTTCTTCTTCATCTTTCCAAATTTACTATTTTTATTTTCTTTATTTATTGACTTACTTACTTTGTGTGTGTGCCTAGATATAACCTAAGAGATTAGATTAGTTACATGCAGTCAGAGGAAACATGAGGGAGACCATCCAAATGAACCCTACATTTTTAAGGTAACCACTTTTTACCAAGATGTTTTTTCTCACTTTACTTTTTACACTGAAGTATCTAAAAGAAATTATTACATTGCCTGGCCGGCGTGGCTCAGCTGTTGAGCATCCACCTGTGAGCCAGGAGATCACAGTTCAATTCCTGGTCAGAGCACGTGCCCAGGTTGCAGGCCCGATCCCCAACAGGAGCTGTGCAGGAGTCAGCCGATCAGTGACTCTCTCATCATTGATGTTTCTCTCTTTCTGTCCCTCTCCCTTCCTCTCTCTGAAATCAGAGATATACTTTAAAAAAAAATTATTACAAATGTGATAGTCCAATGTAAATACTTCATTATGCGTATGTAAAAAACATTTCTCAAAATAACAGACTTTATTTACTTTTATATTTTAAGCTTCTTTTCTGTACTCACATTTTTTTCATTTTCAAAGTAAGTACAATATTTGTCGATTACTCATATCTTTCTCCTGGACTTAAGAATGAAATAGAGAGCTGTGCAAAGCTCTGAGAACAGTGACTAATAAGTAATAAGCCCTCAGTTAATGTTAGTCTTTATAAATGTTGCATTTGTTTCATGGTATTTCTTTTATCCCTGAGGGGCAAAAGAAAGTTTGGCCCAAAGTTTCTGTGCTGTTTCTGGGTTAAACTTTGAATAGAGCTCTCAAACAAGATGATTCTCGTAATATCAGATTACCTTCTGTCTCCTTTTCCCAAAAGCATTGCCCACATGGATGTAATACATTTTCCTTGCATCATTCTAAATAATTTACTAAAATTTGGTTGCCAGACTTCAGTGTTTTGTTCCATTTTTTTAATGCACTTTGACACAGCAAGAGACAGTTTGCACCACCAGAAGCTGACCCTGAAGCAAAGGTTTGATTTCAGGTGGTTTACTTGGGAGGTAAGGGGCAGACATCAGGAGGGGAGTGGGGAAGAGACAGAAGGGAGGACCGCGGTAAAAGCTTCACTGTCATACTGAGGTAAAAGCTTCACTGTCATACTGACCACCGCCGTGGACAGCGGGAGCATCGTCCTGCTGGGAGAACTCTGGGAGCCTGTGTAGAACACACATCTCAGTTTTCCCACATGGGGATGAGGGAGCTGAGCTCTTTAAACAGCAGTTCCCCTCAGTCACAGGGGAGGCTGCTAGGGCAGGAAGGCCACGTCAGTGACCCAGCACATCTGCCCTGCGGCACAGCAGGCAAAGCAGCTGGAAGCCAAGTTCATCCTGCGGGAGAGCAGAGCAGCCGAGACAGGTGGGAGTGAGCGTCCAGGGGCATGGACTGCATGCTCACAGCATGCATAGACACTTGGAAAATTACTGTGGAGTTACAGTTATTATTAGATGGTAAATCAAGTCCACCTTTGGGAATCTATATGAATGGTCTTTGGAGAGTCTTCTTGTCCACATCCAGTAGCTCTTTTCTTTCTTTTAAATATATTTTTATTGATTTCAGAGAGAAGAAGGGAGAGGGGGAGAGAGAAACATCAATGATGAGAGAGTCATTGATCGGCTGCCTCCTGCATGCCGCCCACTGGGGATCGAGCCCTCAACCCGGGCATGTGCCCTGACTGGGAATCGAACCTCGATCTCCTGGATCCTAGGTCAATGCTCAGCGGCTGAGCCACTACCGGTCAGGCAAGAAGCTCGATTTTCGTTAAAACAGGCTCAGTTCTGATGCCAATGGCTGTGACACCAAGGCAGCCATTCAGAGTGAAAGGAGGAGATGACTGAGTTGTTGTCGAATGCCTGTGAAGTTGCTGGAACAGTGTAACAGGTTCTTGTTTTATCTTCTCAAATAGCACTAATTTGTGACTCAGGAGACTCTCATATATAGTTGAAAAGCAGAGACTTCTCTTTCCTACAACATGAAAGTAATGCAGTCTCGCTCTTTTTATGATACCTGATCTTTATTTCCCAAACCTGACTTTATTGGTTAGGGCTTTTCATTATATGGGCATTGATTAAATTAATTGCTGGACTAGGTTTTTTGGTGTGTTTTTCCTTGGCACCTTAATAATATCCACTGTATTTTCTCCTTATATTTCTTTTCTTTGCTAACATGTGTTCCTTATGCTAAAGTATAATTTGATAGGCTTATTGATCAAAATGTTTTCTTTTTAGTCATTAAGTAAATAGTAAGCCATGTTTACCTCTCCTGGGCCATGTTGTGTGAAAACACTATTAAAACTATTGCTAATGTATCATCACAAAAGGAATTTAATTTTAAAATCTCTTTATTTGACTGTTACCTATAGACATAAAAGTTGTAATCCTACTGGTTTTGCCATCTTTTCCAAACCCCTTTGAAGATGGTGACCTCCTTGTCTTGAAGCTGTTCAAGCACAGTCCCTTCTTCATTTGTACAAGGCATTTTAGGGACAGTTCAAGTACTCTTTTATAATTCCTCCTACATATAGCCCTGAGATTCTCATTTTCTGAATGTTTATCTGTGAGTGACTTCCACCCAGAAATTAAGGGGGAAAACATGCTAGGAACATGCAAAGAGACATTCTTTTAATGTTCAAAACAGAAAACCCTACATGTCTTACAGCTCTCACTACATTTACTGTGTCCCCACTTGTTACCAGGGAGTATAGGTACTTTTCAGTTCTAACAAAGCTCCCGTGAAACTAGAATAAGCTATTCTGGAAACGGAAAAGTAGGGTTATTTTAAGCTATGAGATAAGCCAAACTCATGTTGGATTTAGAGATGGTGGCTTAAATCTCTAAATCGAAGCAAAATCATTGATTGTTTCATCTTGTTTCAGTATTATTTTTAACACACTGGAGCTGATTGAAACATAATTGGCTAGGGATTGCTTTTAAATGGGAAATAAGTAAACTTGAGGAAATATAGTTGTTTGCATTCACATGCCATCCCGTTACTACGTATTTACTGTTCTAATGTTTGACTAATACTACAAAGCATAATTAGAGTAAGATAGTAAGACATCTAAAGCATGACACATAATTAACAGAGAAAAAGAGAATGCTGACTCATAAAGAATACATTTTCTCATTTGAGTGGATTCCACTGTCTTAAGTAAAAGCTTGAGGAGCATTCTTAAGCTTTAGCTATGATTATATTTCAATTCAAGCAAAACAAACAAACAAAAATTGAAATAATAAGTTGGTTCTTGAAAATTCTAAAATCCCAAGAGAAATTGCTGTGTTTCAGGCACTTTTCATTGTGTTAGCTCATTTAATCCTCAAAACGCCTTACTTGGGGTAGGTGTTGTTATTACCTCCCCATTCTAAACATAGAACCTCTCATTTACAGGTAACACAGCTACTAAGTAGACCCTGATTATAACTCAGGCAATCTGACTCCTAAACATTACTCTAAAAACTATTTTAAAACTTGAAAACAGGTTACTTAAAGAAATTAGTTGTCAGTAGATAATTTTAGCCTAAAATATAAGTAATTTAAAAATAGTTATCGCTGCCATTTTTCATGCTCCTGCTTATGTGTCTGACTATGTGCTAAGCACTTTCTATACGTTCATTTATTGAGTCCTCAAAATGCCTGTGAGATAAAGGATTTATTGTCCTTGTTTTATAGATGATACAGATGAAAATTAGGGATGTTTAAGTAACTTGCTGAAGGTCATATGGAACTAGTAAGTAGCAGAGCTGAAGTTTGAATCGAGTCTGTTGACTTCCAGTGACCATATGTATAACCACTGCTGGGCTGCCTTTTCCATGTTACAATTTACTACCCCTGTGCCTAATCAGCTTGTGTTCCTTCCTAAATGAACTTGTTGGTAATGAAAAATGTTGATCAAGAGAAGATAAAGTTGTTTTGTAGAAGAAAATTATAATACTAAAATACACACATAAAATATTTTTGGTTGTCACTTAAAAAAAAAAATCTTTCAAGAAGCATATCTTATACTGTGTTCCAGAATGTATTATGTATAATATTATTCCAGAGTTTTGACATTCTGATATAAACATATTTTGTCTGTCATTGGAAGACTGCTGCCAGAATAACTTTTGCTTTGGAAGTTGGAATCTAGATCAAGGATTTCATTTTTGCATAGAGAAAGACACCCATCATAGTATAGACAGAATTGCCAGTGAAATTCCTAACCTTATAGGAAAGAGGAATATTGGTTGCCCAAAGAAGGAATTCTTTATTTTAAATAAAATATAAAACAAATAAGATTAGTGAGTCAAACTCTTCATTCCTGACCTTATCAAAAAACAATTTGAAGATAAGATTATAGCACAAAAGGCATATTCCCTTTAACTTTATATAGCAAGAATATATACTGTATTATGGAAAAACACAAGGGTAAAAACCAAATAATCATTGAATCTAATTACGGATTTTGGTGTCAGTAAGACCTGGTACTATATACTTGCCCTCTAACTTGGGTTAACCTCTTTAAGTTTCAGTAGTTACAATAGAACCTTTTTCCATGATTGTCATGAAATAGTGTGCATGTGAAAAGCTCAGCCACTTTGGGCATAGTACGACAAAAATGTTAACTTTCCTTATTGTTAACACATTTGTGGATGTGCCTGATTAGGATTCTGTTCACTTCAGTGGTTCTGTTCGTCCATCTGTTTCATAATGCTGTTCTAATAGGCTCAGATTTGCCCCACCCCTCTGACTCTCTAGCTAAGGAAATATCATGCAGAGCCCCAAGGGGCTTACTCACTTTTAATTTTAAGGAATTAGCAGAATCAGTATATTAATTGGAAATAAAACCTTTAGTAAATACTTTTTACCAAGTCCTTTATTTGAATTGTGTTTGGTGAAAATAAATATCTGTGTTTATTCCTAAGTTCGAATGGGCTCAGTTTAATGAAATATCGTGAGTTAAAGTAGGGAAAGTAAAAACAGAACATGCTTCAATAATGAAGCAGTGTAAATATAAGAGCAGATAGCTGTCATTTTGCTTTTCTTTTGGAATGAATTATGGCAGATCCAGGCATTAAGGAACTTTTTGGATCAAAGATCTTATTTTCCTTTTCTGTCTCTTCCCTCTGAGAAAATGGTCTTCTCTTACATTTAATAATAATAACTCACTGGCATTGTATTTGGGCATAAAAATACAAAAGAACTTTCCTCTTACTCAAGTCTTATACCTTTATTTTAATGAATGTTACTTTAAAGGAATAATAGGCCTTATTAAAACCATAAAATGTAATTTAATTATTAGTGGACAATTCTCATAAAACTGAAAAATACAGAAAATTCTAAGACTCTTTCAGCATTTGGTCTTTTTTAACACATCATTTAAGCTTTTAGAAATCTATAGTAACTAATTGGGAATTTGTTTTCTTTGAGAAGTGCCAGTTTTAAGTTACATTACTATGACGTATGATTATTTCTAAAAAACATTAATTCTGCCATCCACAAACAGCTTTTCTCAGTGGCCACAATACTTAGTGGGATGGATTTGTGATCTCAAAGACTTTCATTTCCAATTTAATATAAAACAAAGTCAAAAGATCACATAGGCCAGTTTTGTTTTCGCATAATAAACTGACATTAGCACGAAGTTACTGAGTATACTTCAGCATTGTTTCTACAAAGAATACAGAGTTTTCTATTATCATCTCAACTAATGTTCCTTCTCCAGTTATCAGTGATTCTCTTGTATTTGCTTTTACTGTGCCTCCGTCTCTCTACTTTCTGTGGAATAGGAGCCTTCGTACTCATTTGATTGATTTCCCTTGGGGAAAATATTCTTATTGCATAAGAAGAGTGGTTCTTCCCACTGATTAAATAAGCAAGGATTCTTAAGCAGTTCTTAGTATGTTTTTAGTATGAACTGAGCCAGGGAGCTCAGATTTCAGTGAAATTTCAGGTGTCCCTGGAAATGCTCTTTGTCAGAAGCAAACATTTATTGCATGTTTACCATATTAGCATCATTGTGTTAAATTATTATCCCAAATGGATAATAAATGAGTGCCTTTATGATGAAGACTATAAAACTCCTTTATATTTTGTTGGGATATTTAGTTTCAAATGCATTTTCCCTTTTCTTACAATTTACTCAGGATATATTTGTAAAGGTAACACCAGTGAAGCAATAGAGTCTCATGAATACTGGGTGTTACAGAGCACTAAGGTGTGTAGGCCAGCATCACAACCTGGAGAGTTCCAGGAAATTACAAAGTGGGATTTAGTTTGAACTCTGAGAATGGAATAGATTAGGTTGAAAAATGTTAAATATCTGAAATCTAGCATTAAAGAAAATGTAAGTAGCTTGTGCCTGGTTCTCTTTAAAGCCATTTTGGTCCCTGACTTAAGGGTGAAGCTATGAAGTAAGATTGTAGTAAGTCCATCCCTCTTAGAGCACCCTTGTCATGGTTAGGTGAGCGTGAGATCATTCTGGTCAGAAAGAGGTGGAACCAGTCCAGCCTGTGGATTCGACCTGACTAAGCCAGGCAAAGCTTCCTAAATTGAGTTTGATTCTCCTGAGCCAGTCTCAGCCTCAGTCCCAGGTCCTGGCACTGAGTAGTACGTAGTGAGTTGATTAAATGGTATGGACTTTGAAAGCATTTTCTTTCTTTAAATTGTCTAACCAAGTAGTACAAGTGAAATTCCTCATGAACACATGTCTCAGTTTGAAGTCGAATTATTCAGTAGCCACATTTCCCAGAATAATTCATCTTAATACCTTTCTTAGCTTTAAAATCTTTCTGAACAGTGAATGAAAACTGATTGTGAGGGAATGGACATATACATGTTATTAGCATTAACTGCTTCTTGGTAGAACTAAAAATGCTTTCTAACATTTTAGGGGCACCATTTGTTTTTAAATTAAGAAAAACAGTTTCTGAGGTGCGATGCTGAACCGGTTTTTTAAGACACTTCTGGTACAAAATACTGAAACACCTGTTTTGTTTTGTTTTGTTTTCTCCCAGAGACCAGCATGCTGATGATGTCAAAGAAGATTTTGAAGAGAGAATGGAAAGTGAAGTGAGAACATCACATGAAGCCAGAGGTAGCCATAATTAAATAATCTCATATTATGGACGGATAGTACTAGTCATACAAACTTTAACTTAAGGAAGTTTTCTGCATTTAAAAAAGACCTGGGTCTAAAAAAAACCTTTTTTTAAATCGAGAGCTCATGATATTTCAGGCATAATAATGAAAAAAGGCTGAATTTAAGAGCCAGGTTCATTGTTTGAAACGAAAAGATTACATTGAATTGGGCTGGACTCCCCTCACATATGTGAAAGGGTGTTCAATTTGTCTTTCAGTTTTATTTTTCTTGGAAAATCAGGGACCAGACAACTGGCTGGATGTAGTGGATACTGTGTGTTTGAATATTAAGTCAGAGTAGACTGATATGTTTCTAAACATGATGAATATTACGATTTTTTTCTCTGCATTATACTGTTTCTCATTGTAATGTACTATAAGGTTTCTCTTAATACTTGTCTTTTTACTTTTAAGAATGATACCTTCAGTTCTACAAATAAAATTGATCAATTATTGGACCAACAATCAGGAAGATTTAAAATTCGTACTACATAGTAATTCTATTCATTCCCAGTTAGCCTAAAATATTTTTACCTTCATTTGCTTAAGCATTTCTGTCCTAATTTATTTTTATAAGCAAACTAGAATAAAAGCTTTTTTGAAGAAAGAAAAAATACCACAGGAAGATACTGTTTTTTATTGGAGAGAGGGGAAGCATTGATGGTCATACCTTCCTCAAAGCCATTTCAAAGGATTTCGGTATCTTTATTTTTGTTGAGAATGATCCTTCCTTCCCGTTGCTGCTTCTTTCACTTCCTCAGCTTACAGAAATGTGTATTTCTGATACTTACAAAATTTCTAGATAATTTCTAGACGAAGTGAAAAGTTTCTTGATAATATTTTATCTTTGCAAGGATTAGGAAGAACTAGACCCAGAAATCACTACAGTCAGCTTTACGTCCAGTGGTATAGAATTGAGTAAAACTAAAGAAATGTGGAGGCAAAAACCTGAAGCCTAGTGGGAAGAGGGAGAAAAAGTTTGAGGATGTACCTTTGGTAAATTTTCATTTCAGGAAGCTTCAAAAAATGCGAACAACTCCCTAAAAAGTATTATTTTCATGCAGGCCAGGAGTTGGAGAGGAGGGTGGTAAGAAAGAACACGGCCCTAGCAGAAATGTCTTCCAGAACAAAAGGCTTTGTTGTCTGAAGCGCACTGAGCACGTTCAGACTCTTGCTTCCTTACTCTTGGCACTGAGCCAGCTATGAACATTTTATTGTGTTTTGCATTTATTGAGCATATTGCGTTTATTTTGGTCTGTATCACATGTTAAAATCAAAACCTGGCATCACATTTCTGTGCAATTCAGGGAGTCAAATTCACGTTCGCTCACATGAAGCTTTCTTTATTCCTTTGGATTTGGGACCCTACCTAACGCTTGTGATTTGAAGAGATGGCACGTTCTGTGGCTGCTAAATACTACATTTGCCCCATTTATCAGAAAATAATGCTGGGCCTCAGGGCGTCAGACAGCACGAAAGAATCAGCAAAAGGAAGGAGAGAGTCTTAAAGGGAACTGTGAATAATACAGGAAATAGAATAAAAGTAGAATGGAGCGAACAGGGCCAAGTGTTGATGGAATATAAACAGTCACGTACTAGAGAGTATGGCTTTGGAAAAGACTGACACTTATGTCGCAAGCAGTTAGAATATAAGCTAGAAAGTAAGCTCTACTGTACTCGTGTAGAACTGGAAACTTACTGTCTCACATAAGTTTGTCTCATGAAAGATTTACAAGTATTGTATTTCAAATAATTGCTAAACTCTTGGGAATATCTGAAATTAAGGGATGTGTTTAAGTTAACCCCATATTTATGTTAAACAAAAACATCTTGTTTAGATGTTTTTCAATTTAAAAAGAATAAAAACTGGTACAGGATTATGTATTTAGCTCAGATAGTAAAACAGGATGAGAACCTAAAACGGTAAAATCAACTGTATGAGATTCATTGAATGGATCGTGATGGGTTTTTAAAAAATATTTGAAGGATTGACATGTTTCATGTGGAGCAGATATATTTTTCTATCTGAGCTCACTCAGATAGAACCAGGACCAGTGGGTGTTAGCTCCAGTAAGATAGATTTTTTTTTTTTTTAATTCAGCATAATGACTGTAGTATTCAGAGCAGTTCAAAATTTAGATTAGGCTTATTTAAATAGTTATAAAATAACCACAATAGAACAGTAGGAAATAAATTTTTTAAAACTGTACAACAGAAAACATCAGATACATTGGAATAAATTTAACAAAAGATAGTCATGAAAAATGACAAAACGTTAAGGAACTATACTAAAGAGCACCCCAAGAAATGGAGGGGTGGGGTATACCTTGTTCTTGGATTGGAAGACTCTGCTATGAAGATGTTATTTCTTAACAAATTGATCTATATTTAGTGGTAATTTTAATCTTTAATTTTTTTTTTACAAGCTGATCCTAAAATGCATATGCAAATACAAAGGGGTAAGGATAGTGAAGGGAGTCTTGAAGACAATCTAGATCCCAGATCTCAGTACACTTATAAAGTGATTGTTATTAAACTCTGTGGGTTGGTGTAAAAACACCAGTGGAATAGAGTAGAGAATCTGAGAAGAACTAAGGGAGGAGTGTGATTGATTGGAAAGGAACACAAGGAGTCTCTGGGTGTCTGTCCTATGGTTTCTTGTTTCCAGTGTGTTCACTTTGTGAAAATTCTTTGAGCTATATACTTGTGATTTGTGTACCTTTCTGTAAATCTTACTTTTCAAGGAGAAGACCTTAAAATATTCTTAGAGATACATAATAGCTTAAAATGTTCTTAGAGATAAAAAAGCCTTTAGGTAAATGTTTGGCAAAGATTTGTGGTGGAATTGAATGATCACTGTAGCTTAGCTAGTGGTGTGGGGAGAGTATATGTGTTCTCATGGGCTTTAAGTAAGTAGTTTCCAAAATAGATCTCTATTCTAAAGAATCTTAAGGATATCATTATTGACAAATTCTAAGGGTCCCAAGGACATAAAATCCTTTGCTAAAAAATGGCTATTTTAAGAGAGCAGTAGTAAAGTAGGTTAGGATTCAGAAGACCTAGTAGATAGACTATTCTGTATTTTAATTTTGATCTCCACAAATGAAGAATGACAAAAGCATTTGCCTTTCTGTTATTTTTATTGCAATAATTTCATATCCCATTTTTTTAAGTTAAGCTGGCTATTTAAAAAGTCAAAGTAAAATTGAACAAACACACCAGGGCTAAGAGAAAAGAAGAGAACAGGGTAAACACAGTGGCCAGACTTGAGCATCCAAAGCTGCAAGGGAAATAAATACAATTTCCTAAGTTGAGTTATTTTCCTTGAGGCTAAGTTCGGAGGCAAATTCCTTACCCAAAACACTGAATGATGTAATGGCTCATGTCTTAGGTGGGTGATGTAGCAGAACATGTAAGTTGAATTTACAGGTGTGTCTTACAATCACCTTCAGGTGACCTTCGGTAAAGACAAAGGAGAGTATAATTATTCAAGGACTATAATGTTGAAAGAAATCAATAATTTAACTAGAAGCCCCCTCATTACTTGGGGGAGATGCATGGCATTTGGGGCTTTTTTTTTTTTTTTGCTACTTTTCAAATAGTGATTTTCCATCTGTTTCAATCGACAGGTGCCCGGGAAGAACCTAGCTTACCGCAGGCACAGCGTCGGTCAGCCGTCTTTCTGTCATTTAAGTCCCCAATTCCATGTCTGCCCTTGCGCTGGGAGCAGCAAAGCAAACTTCTGCCAACTGTAGCCGGAATCCCTGCCAGTAAAGTTTCCAAATGGAGCACAGATGAGGTATATTTTATTTTCCTTGTCTGCCAGGGACCAGGGAGTACCACTGACTTAAGGAGTGAGCACAATAAATGGGGGTAGGAGTCTTTTTTTCTGAAAGATAGGAAATTATTCTGAGAGAAACAACTAAAACATACAGGTTAAACGTTTTGAACTTGTTTTGAGCATTTAGATTCTGACTTCTTTTTAAACTGGAATTTTGATCTTATCTTTGACAGGTATCTGAATTCATACAGAGCTTACCTGGGTGTGAAGAGCATGGAAAGGTGTTTAAAGATGAAGTAAGTGTCCCACTAAACTGCAGTGTGTGGCTCAGCGGGATCAGAGCACTGCTGTGCAGTGAAGTGTGAAATGCTTTGCACTGGCCAAGGAGGAAAGAGATGGTTATGTTGAAATTGGCAAATCTACGGAGAGTTGTCTAACAAGCAGCATTAATCAGTTGTATAAAAATGTCTCTGTATAAGGTTAGATGTGAAGGAAATATTTGTACCACTTTATGATGCCCCAAAGCAGTAATACTAGACTCATTACTTATTTATTTTTATTTTATTTATTTATTTTTTTAATGTATCTTTATTGATTTCAGAGAGAGGAAAGGAGAGGGAGAGAGATAGAAACATCAATGATGAGAGAGTCATTGATCAAGTCCGCAACCCGGGCGTGTGCCCTGACCGGGAATCGAACCCCGATCGCCTGGATCCCAGGTCGACGCTCAACCGCTGAGCCACTCCCAGCCAGGCTAGACTCATTTTTTTTTTATTTTATTTTATTTTATTTTATTTTATTTTATTTTATTTATTTTATTTTATTATTTTATTTTTAATTTTAATTTAATTTATTTTATTTTTATTTTATTTTATTTATTTATTTTTAAATATATCTTTATTGATTTCAGAGAGAGGAAAGGAGAGGGATAGAAAGATAGAAACATCAATGATGAGAGAGTCATTGATCGGCTGCCTCCTGCATGCCGCCGACTGGGGATCCAGCCCACAACCCGGGCGTGTGCCCTGACCGGGAATCGAACCGCGATCGCCTGGATCCTAGGTCGACGCTCAACCACTGAGCCACGCCCAGCCGGGCTAGACTCATTAATTTAAAAAACACAAAAAACACAGGACTTAATAACATGCATTTGTATAGTTTCTAGCACAGAAAGGAACCAAAAAAAGAAATAAGATTTTATTTTTAATAAGGAAATTAACAGCACCAAGAGTAACTCCATTTGATGCTTATAGTAAATACTAGTACCATTATTAAAATAATCCTTTAGATTTTATATATTTCTCAGTTATGTTTTTAATAACTGATATTCATTACAGTCTGCTGTTGGAAGGTTATTTTTTAGTTATTTGCATTTGCCTGCCCTGAGCTTCAGCATAAGGGATGATTGATAATGATATCACCTATATAGAGCATTAGAACAAAAAGGAACTCGGATTCTATTACACTAGAAGTAATGCTATTCGCGTACAGTAGGGAACTCTTTTCACTAGAGACCTTTAACCACTGAGCCAAACCGGCCAGGGCGATAGGAACTGAATTTGAGGCATCCTACATTTTTCTAAATTCTTCTCAAGTCAGCACCTAAGAGTGATCACTGGAAGGTGTGGGCACCTTCCCTTTTCCTGTGAGCCGATTTTTCCGATGAATGAATTTTCACTTCGCTCCCAGGCCACATTTGGTGTGTCACTGTAGATAAGAAAGATCCATTTATCAGGAAATGTTTGAACATGTGAACTCCCGCCTGTGCCATTTTAGTGTTGCTGTGTATAAGACAGCTGATCCTTTGACTTTGAATATTTCCCGCAGCACTACATCCAATTAATTCACAGTCTCTCTTCTTTTTCTCCCATTTCAGCAAATTGATGGAGAAGCATTTCTGCTTATGACGCAAACAGACATTGTTAAAATTATGAGCATTAAGCTGGGCCCTGCTCTCAAAATTTTCAATTCTATCCTGATGTTCAAAGCTGCAGAGAAAAACTCTCACAATGAACTTTGAAGGTGGTGAATTTTGAATACCTTCAGCTTTCTGCTTTTAAAGCTCATGTTTTATTCAAAGCACAAGGACAGTTATAACTCCCAAGTGAGAAGTCTCCAAAACTCAAAAGAGCAATGCGATCGGATTATTTATATTCCTCCAGAGACAATATATGTGAATTCTTATGAAAGTGCTTGAGCTTTTAACCAGGTACTGTCTAACAACAGTCATCTTTTGGTTCTGTTCACTGAGCTAAATTTATCTTTGTAAATCTTTTTGAGGCTGGGGGGTGGGGGGAGAAGGGGGACTTCATTAATTATTTATGGATAATGGGGGGGCAGAGTATGAATTTTTGGCATTTTGTAAACATTGATGAATTCTCTTTCATGTACACTGTTTCTTTTTCAATACGTTCAGGAATCTTTTTATATAATCAAATTTCAACCTAAACCAAAATAGTCAAAATCTGGCTAAGTTTAGCCAGTGGGACGGTTGGTTATCTGTATTGTTAATCCTGTGCCATATTTTGAATTGCAACATTATGCTAAGTATAACTTTGCAAGTCACGATATTGCCTAACTGCTTGTCATCGTTTGTTGGGGCTGAATCGTTGTAAAAATTACTTTTCCTTAAATCTGTGTTTTTGCTTTTGCACGTATTATGAAATGTTAAACAAATTACTTTCACCAGCATCTTTACTATAATTACCAAAAACATGTATATAAATAATGGAATTGAAAAATAAACTATATAAGCATAGATAAAGTAGGTGATGTATTTGAATGGCATCGGTCTCCAACATCATGACACCCTGTGTGCTGGACTCTTGTAGAGCCCAGTGATGTCGTGAATATGCAGTTACATTGGGGGCGGGGGGGTTTGTAAGGATCTTAAACTATTTATGAGATTATCTTGAGCTTGTCTGTAATTGTCATTGAGGTGCTTTTCAGAGATCGATGAAGGGCTTGTTCTGTCCATAGAAACACTAATCCATAAACAGCTCTGTCCCAGATCTTGCCATGTCCTCCAAACCCAAAGGTTTTTCTTCAGGGTTGGCTGAAGAGAAAGAGTATTGATTTTACTGAAAAGGCAAGGTGTGAGGGAGCAGCGCCAGCAGACACGGATTCTAAATGCTTACAGATCAGGGAGGCGACTTCCCAAACAATCATTCAAGAAGCTCCATTTTGGAGAGATTCCTTTCCCTGTGGAACAGTTCGCCTCAGTATATAAGCATACAAATGCACTTTAAATGAAAGCCCTTGAATACCTAGAAAATGATAGCTGGTAGTGTTTCTTTTGCAAGAATGCATTTCCAACATGAAAGGTAAATTATTTTATCAGCCTTTGGATGTAATTTCTGATTTCAGGATTGAACATTTATTCAAGATCTTTTTGAAAAGTAGAAAGTAAGTTTGCAGCATGCCGTCTGAACTCTGGGGAAAGTTCCACCTCTCTTTTGTTGCCCTCATTTTTTCCGATGTAGAGTTTCCTTTCATGTCCCCCGTTGGAAGTGTTAGCGGTCTTTTGCGTATGTCATCATTCCAGGTAAAAACAGGGTCATGATATCTGCAGTGTTCTATTCATTTCTTTGCATGTATCTGCTTAAACAAATTTTTCATTGTTAGTTTTCATTTCCTTTTTTAATGTTTTGTTCAGAATTTGTACATTCAAATTGCACTTGTTATATCTGACATGAATGAAATAAAATCTTAATTGCAGGTACTTTTTTTACATGTGTATGATTTTTAAGAAAGCTTGTCAGATAGGAGGGGTGAATGAGAACAGGAACATCAAACTGGGATGACAGAGAAAAAAATCCAAAAATTACATATATGCACAGCCCATGGACACAGACAATAGTGTGCAGAAAGCCTGGGGTGGGGCGGGGGCCACCGGGTGGAAGGGGGCAAATGGGGGGAAATGGGAGACATCTGTAATACTGTCAAAAATAAAAAAAAGTACATTGTTATGTCAAGTAGAATTCATACCCATTGGGGATTTTTCCTTTCTGGTTTAAAGCATATATAACAAAAAAGAATTTAAATCTTACTGGAAACATCTCATTCTAAGCAGCCTGTTATGTTAAGGCAAGGCATTAAGCACCCGTAGAGTGGACCAGTGCACCTCAAGAAGGGGGAAATCTTTTCACCACTCCTTCCCTGGCATAGTCTCGGTCTTAACAGAGAAAGTAGGGGGTCAGGATGGCAGAGAAGACCCTGAAGTGAAAGCAGTTTGGGGCTAAGACAAAAGGGAGGGATGGGGAATGTGGAACTTGAAAGGGCCTTTCCATCTAAAGGCATTTTAAAAATTTCAGAGAACACTGGGCAAGCCCAGTGAGGCCTATCTGCAGATTGAAATATAGCCCCAGGCTGCCATTTTGCAACTTAGATTCATGGGAGTCAGCCTTCAAGCAAAATAGGGCTGGGTTAGTCCAGCGATACTGAATGCTTACCAAGGGGGTCCTGCTAGGCACTGGAGATCATGCACCCTCGGAAGAGATGATAAAACGTATGTGACTCTGCCCTTGGGGTCAGCTCCTCTTTGAGCCAAACTTCAGGGCAGTTTCCCATAGGTCCGCCCCATAGCTTTGCCCCGGCCTAAAGGAAGGGAGAGGTTTTCTTTCAGCCCAGCCACAGAGAGCGAGGACCTCCAAAGGGAAGGAGTCCAAGAACTTGGTAAATTCATTTGCAAAAAGAGAAATAAGACAGATTGTGAACCTTATTAAAAAGCTTTGGGGGTGGTAATTGGGGGAAATAAAGTTTGTAGGGAACTAAAGGCACGTTCTAGTGAAAGAAATGGGAACAGGAATAGGAACTGGTTTATGGGAAAATGACATGTGCCAAGGTTTTTATTGTCCGTGTGCACAGTCATCATAGAGGTGGGCAGCTTCTCTTGAGCATTTTAGTGAACAGAAAGTTACTAGTGTCTTACAGTATTTCTAGAGATGAATGTTATAAAAATATTTTTTTCAATCATTTCTGTGAATCCCTTTTTAACCTTTTAAATAATTTGATGCGGAGTGACCCAAGAAATGTGCATCACATCACAGTGCAAGTATTAGGCACACTTCAGTTCCTTCAGTCTAAGCCAACCTGGTCCATCAAACCTAGACCCCCACGAGAGGCTGGAGGGCTTGAGAAAGGCCCTCACCTGAAAACGACGCTGGTGGCCCTGGGAGTGAAAAGCTAGGTCTGTATTGCAAATCCAAACAAGCCTGTGGAACAGCCAGGGCGGACCAAACAGTGAAGGTCACGGCCCGGGCAAACCAGAAGCCATGTGGAAAGACAAGCACCAGGTATGCAGAGCTGCACCTTCAGGGAGGGAAGCAGAGAAGACAAACTCGGGTTTCAGAGGGAAACAGAAGGGAGACACGGGTCGTAGGGATCAGAACCTGTGCCAGCGAGATCGGCCAGCAGTGAGGAGTCCAAGGAATGAAGCAGCCCTTGTTCTGAAAAATGTGACTGAAGGAAACCAAAACGCCCAGGGCCAGGCAGGTCAGCTCTGGGAAGAGGAACTGGGGACTATGTGTATCTTCTAAAAATACCAAGTTTCAAAGGTTTCCAAGCAATACTCAGACCAAAGAGGCAGCCCCCAGCCCCCAAATGTGCAGTTCCTGGACATTAAGCCTTTCTCAGGTGGACACTTTGAGTTAAGTGCATGGTCTTACCCTAAACCAAAGGACTTGAGCAAATATGAAGTGTAGTGTCTTAAAAACTAAGGCACCTATAAAAGTGTAACCATGGAATTTCTTAGAACTCAAATCAAAATAAACATTTTTAATTAGGTAGTAGTTTATTACAGAATTTCACAAAGAATTTAAGTATCTAAGGTTAAAGACAGAAGGCATTGAGCCCTGGCCAGGCGCCCACGTGGTTGAAACATCGTCCTGTACACCTAAAGGTTGCGGGTTTGATCCCCAGTCCGGGCACGTACGGGAGGGAGTCGATCAATGTTTCTCTCTCACGTTGATGTTTCTCTCCCCTCTCCCTCCCTCTCTAAAAATCAATGAAAACCTGTCCTCGTGAGGCTAAAGAAAAAAAGGAGGCACCGAAATTCACATCTTTGAGGCAAGACGATTTTCCGTCTACCTAATTCAAACCAATTTTGTAATTTCGGCTGTCCCAGAGATCGATTCCGATGCAATATTTGGCATGTTGTTAAGTGACCGGGTGTTGAAATCCTACTTCCTTTTCCTTTTCTTTCATAGAAGGAAAACAGGGACTGTGCATATCAAAAATCAGTGTCTCCAGGAAGTTGAGGGTTTGGGACAATCGTCTTGGACACTGGATCCCAAACACATGAAAGGCAGCTACTAGAGCAGCCAAGGCCGTGACGCAGTCGTCCACTCTTGTGAGTCTTTCTTTTTCCAAATACAGAGAAAACTCACAGGCATCAATGTTGAAAGGGTTCTTAACTTCTAACACAGGTGTGGACACTTGCACCTGAAAAAAAAGATAACATGGCATGTAAAATAGCGAAGTAATACACGGTGCCTGAACTTAACCATGATATTATAATAAATGAGCTTGTTGCAAATTAGCATATTTGTAAAAATGACAAAACATAGTCCCAAATAGACCACCATCCTGCTTTCAAACATGAAGATGTAAAATGTGAAATCAGTGATCACTGATCTACTGCATACCTTCTCATTCACACTGACAAAAAGGCTGGGATCATCCCCAAAAACGTCTGGCAGGAGTAAACACGTGGCTGTCATCTTCATATCTGTCAAGGCAAACATGCTGAGAGTCTGAGAAAAGCGAGCTTTATTGTTGTAGCGAAGCCAGTATAAAGTACCTGGATATTTTTTTTTAATCGTTAACCTTCTACAGAGAACAAACTAGCCTTCTGAGATCAGTGTTTTCCCAACCATTCTTCAACATCCCAGCTAATAAACATCCAAGGTCTCAGGTTCCCGCCCCAGGTCTCGGCCAGGAGTCGCTAAGAATTCTGCGCGGCCCCTCTGCCGGGGTGGTTCTGTCAGCTTCCCTTGTGGCTGAGATTAGGAAATGGACAGATTCCTGGCTCCCTAAATAGAATTTTATAGTGTCAAGTGCACTTTTTATATTTATACCCCAACACCTCCCAGTTGAAAAGTTTTTTCTCTCCCACAGGTTGTTTCCCTAAATTTTACTCAGGATCAAAACAGCTGCGCCCGCTGCCCTGAATCACAGAGACGAGCCCAGGCCACCCCGCCGTGTCACTGACGTCTCCGCGCGTCCTCATCTGGGTGTCGCCGCATCTGTTCCTGCAGCGCGATGCTGACCGGACTGCGCGCCACCGACAGGGAAGCCAGGATGTTTTCCGAGTAGGATTCCAAAATGTGCCTCGTCTTCTTATAAATATCTGTTCTCGTAAGCAGCTGAAATTCTCTGAACATCTGAAAGGAGAAAAAGGTACCGGGTCACTAGGAAAGCTAATCCTAAGTAACTCTTTAGGATTATTTTAAACTTTGAATGTAGTTTAAGATTTGAGTAGCGTTAGTGGAAAAGTGAAGATTTAGGACAGAGAAGGAGGAAGGAAGGAAAGCCTGAAATGAACAGGAAAGGATAAATAATGGACGTGGCAAACTTGGAAGCCCATAGAATTAAAACTTTGAGTGCAGACTCAGTTCAAGGAGTAGACAAGCATATTATAGCTATTTGGGTGACCTAACTAAGACCTAGGATCTTATGTTTCTTTAGGTAAACCACATTGTTGTTTTAACAGCATCCGAAATGAAGCAAAAAGAAGAAAACTTAGATTTTAGGAGGCACATGTTACAAAGTACTGAAACTGAGTGTTGTAAGGGATTCTAGGGAAAGGGGAGAGTTTTAGAGACTGTGAGATCAGACAGAAATAAACTACATACAAGATAATTGATTACAAGGTGAAAGCAAAGCCAGTTTACCTTTGTGGAATCCCCTTTACTTAAAACCACCCTCTCTTGCCACTGGCTAAGTGCTTCTTTTAAAGTGAAAAGCAGAAGCCAATTACTTAGTCTAGGTTTGTATGATATCTCTTCATGAGTTAGGCATTTTTGACAAGAATACTGACACTTCTCTTTGCATGAGGAAGCACGAGATGGAACTGGAAATCACTCCCATTGTCAGAAACATAAACTAATATCACTTGTTTAAGATGAAATCTGTCAGGTTTCTCTACTGTAAAGTTAATGAATATATATGTTTTAGTTATTAATTAATTTAAAGTTGTAAGTATTATATTAGCTGGGGATTCTTATGTACTTTCACATAAGTTCTAAATTATGATTGTTGAAATGGTTTTGCAGCGACGTGAAAACTAGCATCTCAAAGGATGCATTGGACAATTTGGGGAATTGTTTAAATTTGTGTTTGGTATTTTGCCCTCCTCAATCCCCTCCTACTTGTCTTGTGTCACATCCAATAGATCCCAGCAACAAATTCCTACTTGATATTTTTGATAGTCTAATAAAGTATATATTTTTTTAATTTAAAATCTTCGAATTTTCTGTTGGGAGAAAGTTTCTTTGAGGGCGGAGGTTGATGAGGGCAGGTGGTGATGGAGGGTCCATGTAAACTCCCAGAGCCCCACGTCCCACACCAGCTGCTTCTCTGCCACGTGTGTGTGTCCACAGCTCCCAGGCCCTGAGTGTTTTCACAACGGGAGCAGCAACAAGTGGTGGGGTGGTTTGGAGCTGGGCCAGCTGTCCCACTAGAGGGTAACTGTCTGTGTATATATATGTAAGTGAGGTCAAG